TATACATGCAATAATTTTGAAAAATACAGTACCACAGAAAGAAAGGGCATAGCAACCAAATAGATCCAAAGTTTGTTATCTGGATTTTACTTTCAGCTCAATTTAAGGCTGTAGCATTAAAAAGTTTATTTTTATTCAAAAAAAAAACACAAACAAACAAACTCTAGACAGCCATGTTGAAAAACAATTTATTGTTCTCTTGCCTCATCATCAATATTTACATCTCTTGGCAAGCTGATATTCCTTAGCTATCTAAGTATGTATTCCTAAAAAGAAAGTTGACAACCAGCAGTGGCACCCTGATAAAAACTTAACTATTCATTGTAAACTCACATACTGCATAAAATACAGYGACATTGTTGTCACATCCAAAGGCAGGTTATAGATCATAAAAAAAACTGGTACGGAGTGTTAACTATTCTAAAAATGCTATTCTTTCATTCAAAATCTATAAACTTGCTTGTGATTGGCTAATAAGGGCTGCCAATCAATTTTCCATGCTCTGATGTTAGCATCAGGTTTTACAAAGCATGATTGTTCCTTGTAATATAGAGCTTGTAAGTCTAATATAGGACACTTGGGAACCTTAGCTGCAATCACAAATTGGTCTGAGCAAACATACAATCGTTGACTATAGGCTGCCTTTTCAATGAAATAACATTCAAGGAATTTCCTTCAAATTTATCAATGTAAACAAATAAATAAAATACCTCAGCTAAACCAATGTTATCTAATTGCCACCAACTTCTTTAAAAACAAGCATTGCTTGGAATATAATCTAGTTATTAGACAAACATAGTGGCTTTGAAATATCAAAGAGGTTTCCTACCATTCTCATACCCAGACCCTCCTSAGCTTTCTAACGGAGGAAGCTTAGGAGGGTCTGGGTATGAGAATGTTTCCTACTGAAAAAAAGGTCTTATCAAAAATTTTTTGGCCAGGTGGTAATCATGAAGGTGTTATGGTAACACACCCATCTCATTCAAACAACAATTACTGGACAATCCATCATAAAATGAAAACTACTAGTTTCCTGGTCAATAATGTTGCCTAGCATAGTAGTTGTACAGCATTAACTGTTCCCACCCCACCCCCCACATATTAGACTATCCCCCCCACCCTAGTGTACTTAGTTTATAAAAGGTTTGTAAGAAAGCACTATGGCAAACGTTATTTACAATAACTATAATACAAAACTATATCAATCTACTGTAGGCCAAGCTAAACAGACGTCAAAGGGACCCTTTATTGCTTTCTTCTGTAGGTTGTTCTCTGAACTCTTGCTCAACAGAACATTAGTAATCAGTCAACAGAAGGTCAACCTAGACAGACGTCAAAGGGACCCATATTGTTTTCTTCTGTTGGTCAGTGGTACATTCTTGTACAGCCGAACATATACTGGTTAACGAGTGCCCATGGATGACACCTAAAATAACAACATGATGGTGAGTTAGTCGAACAATAAGCAGCACTTTTAAAGACTTTAATCATCCATATTATTACCATTAAATATTGATTTATATTCCTTCTCGATTTTCTGTGCTGATTCAAACATTTCCTTTGCATCTTTGCTTGTTATTCTCTCTTGGAAATACTTTGAATCTTTTATCTCTCTGTGGAAAGGCAAAAGAAACAATTATAAACAAACTGCAGTTGTTGTTGTTGTTGTTAAAAATGAATTATGAATACATCATAAAATATAGTTTTACACAGTTGAATTATGCAGTCAATCCCCTGATCTCAAATCAGTATCAGAGTGTACTTTGCAACTTCTTTTGTTTAAAACTATAAAATTATTTGCTTTAATCTAACATACTTGAGAGACTTGTAAGACTTGAATTTGATGAACAGTACGATGGGGTACACCTGAAGGGCATGTAATCTTTCAATTGCTACAGGATTCATTACAATGAGTGGATGCTATACAAAAAACAAGCAAGAAAACATGTTAGAAACAGTGAGGTACATGTAGGCAACAAATGAACAATACAGTTGGAATTAGGTCAAAATTGGAGTGGTTTTCATTGGACATTGAAAGAATAGGCAAACTGATTGTATTTGTTATCAAACCCTGTGTTACTACTGAATGTTACAAAGCATGTAGTCTTTTTCTTAGTTAAAAGAAAAAAGCAGTCTAGAACAAAACAACTAGCGTGAACTTAGTGTGAGCTGCATTATATTTTCMAATATGTCAGACAAACATCATCACACATTATAAAACAGAGAAAAGTTAGTGATGTTGTGAATGATTTCTTTTAATACTAATATTTGAAAATCTATAAGTTTAAGTATGTTACCTTATCTGTTATTGTTTGTATTGAAGACAACAATGTACAGGATAAATGCCCTCCTACCCAAGTATAATCCACAAGGGTTCCTTCTGCTACACACTTATCAGCCTTCTCAAGTGAAAGATTAAGCAGTTCTAAAAAAAAAAAAAAACACAACACACACATTTTGGTTTAGTTTTACATCATCACAGCAAAAACAACTTTATTCAATTTCATTGACAAACCTGGTTTACAGTAGACAAAGTTATAGGGGAAATCAGAAGCCAGTTTTTCACAAATTATTTCAGCAAAAGGACCAAAGATAACTACAGGCCTTGCAATATGAGCTGAGAAAGAAACAATAATTAATACATTATAAAGTGAACAAGACAGTAGACACAAAGGAATTGGCATAAGAAATATAAGTTGTGTTGATAATATCACTRAGAGAGAAAGCCAAACGTTTTCATGTATAAGAAATATAAGTTGTATCTTGATAATATCACTGAGAGAGAAAGCCAAAAGTTTTCATGTATCAAGGGAAACAACACATTTTTGGGATGACATAAATTAGTTTTGGAGCCAAATCTAGACATTCTGACTCCACTGGCATCAGAAACTTGCAAAACTACTCTTGACAATTGTAGGGTTTCTAATTATAAAATCACTTTAAAACAAAACTTTTGGCTCTCTGTGAATTTTTCATGACTTACAATCAAGTTTCTCCACAATTTGGTAAGAAACCAAGCCCAGCTCTGAAAACAACAAGATTGTAATGTTGACTACATCACCATGAAGAAGCAAATAGTTATCCGCTTATGATAAAAAATTATATTTTCATTGATATTATTATCACTTTCATCACCATCATCATCAATGTAACTATCTTTCAACTTTAAGTACCTGTTGCAGAGGTAATGCTTGTTGCTGAATCACTTCCTTCTCTTGAGTGACTGATGATGAGGCTGTGTGAGCTCTTCTTGCTCCTTCTGAACAAACTACGTCTTCCTGACAGCCTGTGGTCATCGCCATGAACAGCTGCTAGACTTCKATGAAGRAGGATTTCTTGCTCAGCCCTACGTAGCGTAACCATTCATGTAAAATGAGTGATAATTATTACAGATTATTTTGRATAATTAATAYRACGTACTTCATTCTGCTTGGGACTATGCCATTATCCCTTCGTTGYGCATCATCTGGACAAACAAGACATGCTTTCCAGTAACCTATAAAGCCTTGGTAKATAGTATCTGTAATGTATAATATATCTCCCTTCTTAAAGCTTAGCTCCTCCTTGGAGTGGGACAGGTGATCGTAAAGACATCTGAAATAATTAACAGTAGTAGACCTCAATATATATTGTCTGTTTATCAGTTAACATCTTGTCAGCTATGTACAACAAAAGATTTATTATGAAGTCTCTATTGTTCATACAACCAATGTAGCTACCATTCTTTTCTGGCCTTCTTTCTACTCTTGGGCTTCCTGTCTTCCTCAATATGACCGAGCGAGACTGTGACCCGGTAGAAAAATAAAAGAGGAGACAGCAACCCCTTCATTTCTTGGTGGGGCCCAAGGCCCTCACTCGGCCAAGAGGATACCAGAGGGATCCCAAAAGGTCAAAAAAAAGGTCAAAATAAAGATTTGGATGCAGATAATAGTCTTAGATGTCATCACTACAACCTTAACCACTGTCTYGCTTTAATGAAAAGGCAAGGATACCTTTGACAGGGGTGTTATTTGCTGTTAAAATCAGTCTTAGAAATAAAACTCTCACCTGACATAAAATGAATCACCAGGTTGGTCTTTAATKGAATTGAACTCTGAAATACAATTATCAGTAGAAATTTACACATCAAGGCAACAAACAAAACANATTACGTTTGTGTTGAGCTTGCCGCATTTCTCTCAGAAAGACGTGCACGTTTTTTAGCAATATTTAGCTAGTTGTCATGTAAATTTTTCGCCTGGTGTTTAAACATACTTTGGTATTGTTCTTTTGTTAACGCATTAGTTCTACTCATTAGAATTTTGTGCAAACTCATTAGCATTTAAAAATAGGGTTATGCGAACACGTTCTATCAAGGCAACAAACAAAACAATGCAGCTTTTTCATAAGAACAGTAATAAAACATTTGTTATCCATTCAATTAATACCATGCATGAATTATAGGACACAGTTGTCTATAAACAAATACAYGTTTTGTGATTAATGCTAAACTGTCTTTGAACTAGAGAGGTTTTTCCTTTTCAATGGACAGGAAAACTTCTCTAACACAAGACTATTGAACTCACTKGAAGGRTTGTATTGAACAAGAGCTTTAACAGGTCTGGTTGGTTTGCAGAACTCAAGGAGTGCTTGTTCAGCAGTACARGAMAGCATGTCATGACCATTRTACTATGAAAACAAAGCAAATAYTCAACAYGCAGTTATAAAACCRCTATAATTAACAAWAGATTTGATTGTTGTTTCASTCCAWCTACAAATGAATCTTTTTGAAATTATTAAATACAATAAACATTTGTACCTCAAGAATCTGGTCTCCAATGTTCAATATTTGAGCAACRTCACTYRTAGGATCAACTTCAGCAACAAAAATTCCAGTTGCATTTCCTCCAATGATTTTAAATCCAAGACTGGTAGATGTATGATTGAGATATACAATACGTATGTCACCAAGAGTTTCAACGTCACTAAGCGGTACAACCTAGAATAAACAAACAAAACCTCATCCTCAATAACACTTCTCAAAGTACATGTACACAGGGTCCGTGCAGAGTATCTAAAACGAAATTTAAGGACTTTTCAAGGACTTTTCAAGGACCAAAATTGTGTTTTCAAGGAGCATCAAAATCATGCTAATTGTACATTCTTACCTCAAAACTTCAGCCGAACGGAATAATTCAGAGATCGCTAGCGCTTTGTGATAGAGATCTATCTTTTTCAAGGAGTTTTCAAGGACTTTTTCGAAATTTTSAAATTTTCAAGGAGTTTCAAGTGCCCTTGAAAACGAGTTTTCAATAGGCCATTTGCATTGTGGCGTAACTTTACTACAACTACCAGAAAGCCTTGTGCATTTTCATTGTTATTCAGATTTTTAATCCCCTTGGAGATTAATAAAACAATTGGCACTAATTGCATTACAAAAGAAAGTTGGCAAAGCATTCTGGTAGTTGTAGTAAATGACTCCATAATGCAAATCGGCTATTCAAGCACTTTTCAAGTAAGGACCTGCACGGACCCTGTTTACATATAACTAAAATAGGTGGCTGTTCAAATTAATGAATTCTACCCACCTTCTCATCTTTAGGCAATGGTGGAGTGATTGTGCTATCATCTCTCTTCACTTTCCTTCGGTTTACTGGAGTACTACACGCTGTGCTTGACTCTGAAATACTAGAGTTACCAATATCAAATTCCCCCTCTAGGGCCCGCTGGGGATTAAATTGTGCCAAGATAGTAACACTGTTTCCAGATTCTTTGAGKATTTTTGCAGCTTGATCGTAATTGGCACATCTCAAATTAACACCGTTGTATTCTAACAGTTGGTCACCGTATTTAAGACCAGCTTTTTCAGCCACACTTCCTGCGCTAACTGAACAAACATAAATTCCTCCATTGTTTCCAGGAGCAATTGAGATTCCAAGAGTATCTTTCTTTTCAATGTGTACCAAACGGGGCTCAGCATCTCTGAAAAATAAACTGATTGAAGTAAAACAATTCAAAGCAATTCAGCTCTGACAAAAGGATAAATTTATAAACCATTATAAAAGGGTAGAAATTGTGATGTTTGAATCATTGATCAATAGTCTACTTTACGGCTCATTGCGCCATCTTGAAAGGTAGCCGTACTTTTGCATTGAAGCGAGACGACTGTGAGCGTGCAATGATAGATACCTGTGAATAATTGTCTATAGGTGTAAAGGAAGGTTTCTAACATAATGATTGCACACTCAACGGTCGGCTTGCTTCGATGCAAAGGCACAGCTACCTTTCAAGATGTCTCAAGGAACCATGAAGAACACTATTGGGGGATTACAAATAGGTCATAATACACATATAGCCCAACACTACTACCATTTACCTGTTATCAGAGGTTGCACTCATAGGGACATGATTGCTAAATGAGAATGCCAAAACCTCATTCTCTAAAACAGGTACAATAGGTGTTGATGGRGTACGCARWGGAGTCACTTGWCCTGAAGAAATTGARCTTGCAGAGCCAACAGAACTRCCAGAAATCCCTGAAGGAAAACATGGCTGAGAACTAAACTGGAAGCCTGCCAGTGACATACGATTTGTCAGCCTGCTTGATTTTCTAGGTCCGTGGTAGGTATCGTAGCTTTGTTGTCGATGGTGCYGYAGTTCAAACTCATCAGCACTATGTGACGARCCTTGTCTTGCATGTTGTATGGATACATTAGATTCTGTTGTGCTRCYGAGTCTTCCTGTGTTGGCGCARTGAACTGGGAGACATTGCTGAGTTTCTGGAGGAGGAGTGTTGTAGCGTGGRATTACATAACTTGTTGCTGTGTAGAATGGAACAGTYGTACGAGATTTAAGCACTGCRACAGAGGCTGGTACACTAGAGGGGTGTTGTTTGGGCATTGTGAGAGCCAAGGGGTCCAAATGACTTGTGTATGGTAAATGCTGCAAGACAGACAATAATAACAAAGTTAAACTGATGTGATGAAAATACAAAATGTAGCCGAAGCCGCTAAGTGTGTAGATCGAGTTTACAACAAAAATATGATTCCGAGCTTTCGCTGTCTACAGCATCATCAGGGAATGGGCGAGATAGAATAAACACGTAAAATATAAGGCGAAGCGATCAAGCGTATAGGATAACTTTCAACGCAAAGTTAAACTGAATCTAAAACTGATCTGGTGGTATACACAACTTTCAAAAATGGTGGTAGTTCATGACTGCCAACATTGAGTGACTAGTGACGAATCATGGAAATGAGACCTCTAAGGCCTTCCATCTAGAAATCACTATGAAGATCGCATGTTTGTAGTGTCAAAGTTTGAAAGATGTAATGGTATGTTATTTATAACAAAACACTCTTGCAAGAAACCAGTGAAGTTTACTGTACAGAGGCTGGGCTTTGAGACCTCATTTTAGTGCTTCATCCCCAGTGCCCTGGTCGGTGACCCTGACATAATGCACCATTTTTGAAAGTCGTGAATATATTTCATCAAGTAACAAACGTTTATTATTTTATTCAAACCTGTTGTCTCGCTGCCGGTGCAGACTGTGGTCTCATACCACGTACTGGTTGGTTATTATAACCCTGTTCATTAGGGTACTCGTCTACAAATGTAGAATATACTCCCTTGGTTGTTGAAGACTGTCTTCCTTCTGTGAAGTGATACTGACTTGTTCCAGTCTGAGGCTCTGGGGCACTAGACATCAATGCAGTCATAAAAGAACAGCTGCGTGGCGGCGGTAATGGCTTTTCTTGTGATGAATACTGTGATTGCGGTGAGTGTGTTGTAACGGGTGGACTGTGTTCTCTTGCTGTACGTCTACTAAACTCTTGATTAACCTGAGATGACTGGTTATCAGTACCAGAAGCATGGATTTCTCCATCTATTGATGCTTCACTAGAATCAGTTTGCGTCCCTGTGGTCTTCTCCCTTCTGTCATCATAGAAGGGCTGTAGTGATGGCGATGAATTTAGTAAAGCTTCAGTGACAGAATCAGGTGAAGAAGTAGGTTCTTCAACACTTGGGGAACTCCATCCAGAGTAAAGTCCCTTTTGTCTCTGAGATTGTTGTTCATAGACTTCATTACAAGTATCCATTGAAAGAAGTTTCTTTCTGTGCGAGTAGGCATGCTGGTAGACATCACCATCATTGCTGATCTTACTGTTCACTTCTTGCAGAAGTGCTTGCAGTGCATTGGTTTGTGTTATTGATTTAGGTTTCTGTACTGCTAAACTGACTGTGCTTGTAGACAATAGCTTTTCTGTTTCTTCTTGGGATAGATTTTCAACTGACACTCCATTTATCTAAACACAGTTAAAAACAATAAATATCAAATAAAAAACTTAAAGGTGGGGGAGAGGGAAGGGAAGGTTGGGGTTTGACATATTAAGACAAAAGTACTTATAAATATAGTAAACGTACTGTTAGGATTCTGTCTCCTACACAAAGCATTGGATGTTGTGCTGCAACGCTACCAGGGTTTATAAACCTGATGAACTTAGACTCGTCAACTTCAATACCAAGCTCTGAAATACAAAGTTATARAAAAATACATATCACACCTTCACTTTCTTTGCAAAATAATATWAAAAACGGAAAGCATGGAATGAAAGATTCGTCTTACCATTTCCACCAGAGAGAGTCAAGCGYACAGCGTGACTTATTGATTTCACACTTGTAGAACGACGTCTGCGGACAGTCTTAAACACAATAATAATAAATTTATGAGAACTTCACATGCATTCATTGCATTTGTTATTAGTTGTCTTCATACCAAATTGATGACGCTGCTTTTGGATATAGCCTGTACTGCAGTMTTGTATTCAACATTTGTCAAGTCAAGATCATTCACTTTGAGTAAACAGTCATTAACCCTGAAACATCCAGAATAATAAGCTATTATGTAGTGACTYGCAGGCAGACAAACACCATTTTGAATGGTGGAAACTAGTATGAGCTGTGTTGGTGTTTCTTAAGAAACAGTTGTGCAAAAAGATAAATTTAACATGGTAAAAAAGTAGGTGAAACAACTTACTCTCTTTACTCTGACGAAGGATTAACATCCAAAACGTCAGTAAGTTGTTTCACCTACTTTTTTACAGTGCTAAATTTTATCTTTTTAAACTGCCATTTTGAATGGTCTTCTAAATTGTATATTTTATGAATACATACAGAAAAGGAAAGAAAGACAAACTGGTGGGCAAAAAGACTAACCTTAGCTTTCCATCTGCAATACTTCCTTTAGTGACATCAGTGACCACAATAGAGGAATCATTTGGGATAAGAGGAGTGTCCTTACCACCGCCGATAATAATACCAAGATCACTGTTTGTCTGGTAAAAAATGTGTACTTAAATTAACTTATTTCATCAATACTGTGCAAAATATAATGAACAAAAAACTGCAGTGTCATTTCAAAATCATTTCAGTGGAGTGTAACAGACATTTTACCTTCTCAATTACTACAGATTCTGTCTCCCATTCCTACAATAAAATCATAATTTATGGATTACTCTCTCTATGTAAATAACTAACTTCTTGTAACTATGCAAGTCTCGTGTCATGTTGGATATAATTGCCATATATGCATTTACAAGATAAACAACAACCACAAATATCAAAAAGAAAAATGGACAATATTAAAAATGGTCAACAGACAAATTTAGTCAAAGTGCAGACTTTTTTTAAAGATACTTTGTCAAATGTCAGCTTCAACAAACATTGCTGCTCATGCACCATTATTGTTTAGACTCATTAGCCATAATTCATAATGGAGAGTTTAAGCATTACGTTTACGACAGAGCTGAACCAATGACCTGAGAATTTTGTGCCTGGCCTTGTGCTTTTGGTAGTCATTTGAAAGAGGGACTTTTCATGATTATGGCAACCCCAAAACAACCCAATCTCGTGTTGAAACTACAACAATAAACCCCAAAAAGCAGTTCATGTGATCTTTTCTGCTGTTTGCCGTGAACATAATGCTTAAGCTCTCTAATGCCACACTTACCATTGAATCAGTGTCAATAGCTGAGTCTCTACTGGATAATAGCTCCACCTCTGAACCTTTGGCACTCAATGTAGATTGTATACGATGCTTCAAATCAATCAATTCCATCACATTCTCATTATGYTGTGATCGTATTTGATCAGATTCATTCAACATGTCRTTAGTGTCACTTAAMACCTGGTTATARTCATCCTGCAAGGCCTTATGGGTACTCCATAATCGCTTTTGTTCATTTATGGCCTTATCTCGCTCCAATAAAGCCCATTCACACCGTTGCTTGGATACATCAGCCTCRTGAAGWGCTGCWGTGAGTTCCTTGGATAAAATTTGGAACTGTTTCCGAAGAGCATCATTTTCTTTAGCCTCTCCCTTCAATACAAGATCTTGCTTTTGCTTAACTTTGAAGCATTCTTTWAGTATCTTATCCCTGTGTATTATAGCTTCGCTTCTCTCTCGYCTAGCAGCATCTCTCTCTTGCTTCAACATTTCTGTGTCGTCCATTGCTTTGTCTCTTGCTAATAGCATAGTTTTGTATTCTTGTTGCCATGAACTGCATTTTGTTTGCARAAGATAAACTTCTCCTAATAGTTTATCATTCTCTGAAGAAAACAAGTTCACTTCATCTTGTAAGGTGTTTTTGTGGTTGTGTAACTTGTCTTTTTCATCAATRAGATATTGGTTGGTTTCCTGTAAGGAGTGTAAACGATCTTGAATTTTCTCAGTTTCTCTATGAACACTATCTCGTTCACTCATAACTAGTTTGTACTCATTAACAACTGCTTTTCTTTCTTCATTGACTTTTGCAAGTTCTCTAGCAGTTTTAATCTGTAAGTTCATGATTTTGTCACAGTCTTTTAAAGCTGTATCTCTTTCCTGCTGAACCTGTTTGAGATTTTTTACTGCATTGTCATGTTCTCTTGCAATTTTATCTACATTTTTAGAAACTGTCTCATTTTTCTGCTTGGTTTCTGCCAATTCTGCAGTCAAATCATCTCTCTCTTTGATCAAAGAGTTGAATTGTTCTTTTACAGTATGGAAATCTACTTCTAGAGACTGCAGACGATTGAAAATGTGGTTGTACTCGGCTCGAAGTTGCCTATGTGTTTCTTGAAGTTCAGAGTAATCTTTYTGAAGACTCTCACACTTTTCCACAGCAAAGCCTTCATCACCAGATCCATGCCTGTCTAATGACAATAGCTCAACATGCCTGTCTTTCATTTCAAACTTCTCTCTTTCCCTAAGGAGAACGATTTCCTCATAATCCTGCTTTATTTTATCCTGTTCTCGAATGCTCTCTTCTAGTTTACGGTGTAAACCTTGAGCTTCTCTAACAAGCATATCACACTTGTTTAAGACAGCTTTGTGTTGCCTRCGAAAATAATCAGCCTCTTGGTTTGCAATACTGTGTTTTTCATTGATATCAGAGTTTTGCTGACGTAGGATTTGCAGCTCTGTTAGTACATTAACATAYTCGTGCTTTAATCTTTCGTAATCACTCTTATCATCAAAGCTGTCACARCAWGAGTTGTTTTCAATATCTTCAACACATTTTTGACCCGAAAGTTCAGCCAATTGGTGACATGCTGTGTCTCTTTCTTTTTCAGTCCTTTGTARTTCTGATTTCACTTGTTCCAAGTCCCATTTGACAGATTTGAGTTCATTCTTCAGTAAAGAGTATCTRTCWCGGTAGAATTCATGACCTGTCATACTGGTGCTGCGTCCCACATTGACACGCCTTGTCCCACCTACAAGAAATAACACATCCAATGGTAGTTTAATCAGAAAATCTAAAATATATAAACTTTACTGTTTTGCTGAAGAAGGCYGAAGTGCGGAAACGTTCTAATAAAGAGTAGGAATACTAGTTGCAAGTTGTGTGCCTTTTTCTTCAATTTCTTCAATTTATAAACTTTACTGTTACTATATYATAGCTGTGTGTCTAATGTATTGTAAGAACAATAAGCATAAAACTACTTCTCTATTTGCAAACTTCAGACATGGGTCTTATGAAGGGGTTATATAGGGGTTGCAGCCCCCCTATAACAAAAATAGAACCTAAAAAAATTACTTCTCAACTTATTCCCAGGTTTATTCATTATTAATACCATAACCCCTTTGAAAAAAAATCCTGGATCTGTCCTTGACTAAACAGACAAAAMTAAATTATGTTGATAACAATTTGACATCAAAATGTTTATCAAACAGGCAGCTKGAGGCTTTTTTTAGTTGTTTTGGTGAATGTATCACCTCCATAACCTCTCAATGCTGTCAAACTATTGGATGACATGCTATACTGGGAGGTAGGTAACACACAAAAATAAAAATAACTTGACCCAAGACTAAAAAGAACGAATACAGACAGTTTTATAAATATTAGTTTTCCTCTTATGGGAAAGGCTGTTGATTCATGTTCAAGCGGTTTTTTTTAGCATACATAGAGGCTATAAACATCATATCAGCCCACTAATTAGTGCTCCCAAGAGAGCGGTCTAGATATCATTTATGTWGTCACGTAGTTTCTTTGTAGTCAGTTAAGTAGAAAGTTKAGTTAAATTTCTAAGTATGATTTGTACATATTTGCCTTCTTGGATGGCTTTGAAGGATACTTACATTGTATGTACCGAGTTGAATTGCCGTCGAAATCTTTTTCCACAACTTTTTTCTGTTTGTCCTTTTCAAGCCTGGTTTTAGCTATTGATATAAAATAAGCAGACATTGCTATCAACAACAATGATTTAAAGCAGAACTACTGACACAAACTACTTAAAACAAAGTAAATAAAACACTCCAAAATGATAAAATAGACTTTGCTTGTTCGGTTGAAGCAGCGCTATTAGCTAAAATTCTGCTGTTAAGCTARAAGTTGATTTGCTTTAAAGGTCAAAACAAGTTTGTCAAACGATCTCAGARAGAAAAGCTCTTGAAGGATCCAGAAAAAATAGACAATTTTCCTTCATTACATTAAGCTAGCACGCAAAGCTAGACAATCTACATGCAACAAACATTTTTTCAGACGTGCAACCTCAAAAATGAATTCATCAAAAACAAGCGTTTGATCTCTGCCCTAAGAAAACTAACACGATCGAAATCACAATGATCACATCAGATTATTCACTATTTTATGATCGATATAAAAACACAACGATCACAAGAGTATAAAGCTTAAGTTTCTCAGCAAAGCAGTTTTTTCACACAACAGCTGAGCAAGTTCAACTGACCTGATGCTGGTGGATCGATTCCCAAGAACATACAATTCAACATGTAGGGATATGTCGTCTCAAGAACAACACAGAACTTCTTGAAGGAATTATAATCAAGATTGAGTAAAGTATCAAGCAGTTTATCAATGCGCTTCGTCTGTGGTTCATTTTGAATAGTTTGTAAGTCTTCAGCAGTCAAAACTTGACTGATCGACAGCGGAGASAGAAGTCTCTCTGCGGCCACAGCGGCACTGAATTTACCACGATTGCACTCCAAAAGCTTTCTAAATTCCTGCTCCATCTTGTGTTAGAGTTGGCAAATTGATAGTAATATTCTAGCGAGTATTTTTGCGAAGTCAACGAAGTCCGCCATATTGAACTCTTGTGACAAACACAAATTGTCATGACTTTGTTGACTGCATTCCATATTAGGGTATAACCACGTGACTTGGATTAGACTACTCCATGCGGTTTTGTTTCCCCTTCTACTCCCTTCTTCTTATTTCACACGTCAAAATATACAAATAACTTGATAAATGCACAAAATTTATAAAAGAGACAAATGACGAAGTAAGTAAGGGAAGCTCGTACTAGTTCGGGATTCGAACCCTTAACGCTGGATTCGAACGTGCTACTRCATGGTAACAAATCATGRCACTTAAAATAGATATAAMCTTTATTTAAACATGAATTGAAAAACTTAGGGTAATCCCATAAGTACCCAAAGGGCTACCCGCTATCAATGGGAGCTCTGACATTATACCTCACAGAATGCATTGGGAGAATCATCCCAATCYCTTGATTATTTGTATTCATGGGTTCGAATTGCTCTCCTTTACTTCTATTTCTTATTGCTTCTTCCTATTATAAAACGTGACACTTTTTTGAAGACTTTCAAATTTTATTCAGTAAAMGCAATGTAGAAGTATTTGTATGCATTCTTGTGCTGCGTTTTGTGCTGTGCTTTGCAAAAATTCTTTTTTATTTGGAATGATCGGTTTAGCCATGCAAGCTTTGAAACTTGAAGACCAGTTGGCTATTCTAATTATTATACAGTAAAAACCCGCGTATAAGAACAAATTTATTAAGAACACCCAGGACTGATTTTAGGAAATAAAGTACCATTTATATAAGAAAACATTCAGCCTGAAAATGAAAGTTGTTCTCATATCTTGCACACATTGATTTWTCAWTTTTTTTWAACTAAAATAGTTAAATCATTGTATGACTAATTAAAATTGGGTGCATATATATTGATTTCATCTATTGGTAGCCAAGTACGTTCCTYATTTTAAGAAAATTCTTTTAAGAACACTTAAGAACACTTAGAGGCTGATTTTGCAGATTATAMCCCTTTATATAAGAACCAAATCAGCCTGAACCGCCAAAATAAGTGTTCGCGGGTTYTTACTGTATTCATGCTGYCGGATTGATAATTCATTCACGRAAAAATAACAAGTGTTCATTCAAACAGCAGTYCCGAGCCACCACTGAGTGGTAGACTGKGGCGAGGAAGCACATCGATGCAGGGGGTTGTGTTTCRCATAGCGACCAAAGTTATCTGCGCCTTTCACCCCTCCCTCCTTAAAATTAATATCGCATCCATAGRTAAGACCCCTGTCGCTATCAACCATAATGTGAACTTTAGCATCGTGTCTCAAATGCGTTGTACAATTACTGCATTTAATRCCACGAACGTTAATGTAATCAACTATAATACACTTGTTGCCAGTATATATTGTTTGAATAATGTCAGTATCGATAAGATGTCCGCGCATGCTGTCTGTCATCACAAARCCATCCGAATCGAATCTGCACGTTGCTCTCCATAGACTAGAAAGCTTGTRGATGTGTTTCATAGTGTTGATCGATAATCGATAGTTGCTCCAGTTTGGATTTTCAACGTTCACCGGATAATCTTTGAAAAAAGTTTTGTCCTCGTATTKGTCCTTTTTTGAGAAAGCAAATGATTCAATCAAGGTCCATATTACGCCTGGCTGAGACTTTGCATCACAGTACACCTTATGTGGAGTTGCATTCGAGGGATTAATGGTGTAATAGCCAGGAACTATGTTCCTTCCATAAGCAGCACACGACAGAAATTTCTCACAAACTCTCCCACCAAACTCTTTGCGGCATTTACACTCGAACTTTCTTGTCACATTTTGGCAGAGTTCGACGCAYGTTCCACCATTTTTGCAAGGATTTTCATAACGACAGCAGCCATTTCTGCACTGAGTTGAACATCGCTTTACRCCCTATGAACATCGGAAGAAGTTCATGCAAGACTATTTTATTCTATAGTTATTATTGGGTTGTACGAAAAAAGGCAGTTTTTGAGCTGAGTAAGAAATTATAAGGGTTTCCCCGAAATTTTCAATGAACGAAAAAAAAAMCATAATATATATAGCCTTTAGGCACTGCATTTAATTAACATTTGACGTTTCTTTATAGTATAGATATTTGTATTTTTTTCAATAGTTAATCGGGGTGCAAGAACAAATTTTGTTTGCAAACAAGAAAAGCCAAGAATAGTTTTACTACATGGATCATTACTCCATGGCAATGGAAATTGCTATCATCCGAGTACATTACTGTCGTTATCGCAATTATTGTAAGTTATTTCTAGTTTACCTTTTTAAATTGCTGCGTAAGCTCAAAATACAAGTATCCAGATAACATTTTGTAATCATTCGGTGCTGTTAGTCTGTTCTCGTCCATCAACTCACATTGAGAATCCTTCCACTGATATGAAACACATCTGCAATCCWGAACACAAGCACTGAAACATGCTGGAATTGTCTCGATGGTTAGATTCTTGTAAGAATTCCCTACGAGGGCATGGTCTTTCACGTGTTTTTCGACATTAAAGCTGCCGGAATATTGCACGATTGGACATGTATTTTGATCAGAATTTACATGAGTTGCAAATTTCAAGAGCAAGACAATGTAAATCCCGAAAAAAGGGAAAATAAAGCTGGAAAACATGGCGATCATTACGCATCGAGCACTGAGACAGTGAAGACAACAGTGTTGATTACGGCGGAGTAACAGGTGAAAGCCTTTTGGCAAATGGAGGGACTAAATGTTAAACGGTTTATTCAAATTATTGCCGATCTTTAATTGAACATGCAAACAATAATTGGGTATCACTCTAAAATTGCAACACGTTTCCATCGTTTTTGTAAACAAAACTTTCTCAAATGATCGTTGTACCCAAAATATTTTTTAAAGTCTCAACTTGATCTTTTCTCCGGCCACTGCTATTTTTCAATTTCAAGGCAACATTGAATAAACTCAAAGCCTTTTCCTCATTAATTATTACTGAAGCAAAAAGCTAATGTACACCTTATAATAATCTTTTTATTTTTATTAACGCCGTTAAATATGAAATAGTTTCATATAGAAAAATWGGAAAACCCTATTTCAAGTATCMAATGATTTTCCGATATAGCTATTTYATAAAATCGYTCTAAAATGCTTGGAACAATCAAGTGAATGTCCTTAATTCAATTAAACACCACAAGCAAACAATTCATCCCCCTAGGCCCTAGTATACATATATACATATAGCTATTTCATAAAATCGTTGCTAAAATGCTTGGAACACTCAGCTGAACTAATTTCCTTAATTCATTGACAACACCAGCAGACAATTTCATCCTTCCTAGCTCCCCAAGCAATGTTGTCATTGAGCATGTTACCATAGTACACAAGCATCCAAAACAAGGTCCAACATTGATGAAAAGGCACTAATTGGGGAGAAGTGTGAAAAATAAAGGAGAAAAATTTCAGTCTGGAGAAAATTTATTCTATGGGTCCGAGCATTTTTTTTGCAGTGATTGTCACTTTAAAACTTTATTTTTTGGCAGTAGTAAGTGATTTCAAGATGAAGAAAACTGCCCTGGCCGCCATATTGGATATTGCATGAACACGAGAAATGCCAAAAACTATAATGGCGAATATGACGTCACATGCCTTCCCAAATATAGCAATATTGACGTTGACTCAGTGTACAGTTGTACAAATTAACTGAGTAGGGGGTGCAAACACTAAAACCATGAAATGGTAATAAGCAGATATTGCTAATACCGCAATACAGTCCACAGTAGAAAACAAGGGATTTGGCACAATTCAGTTCAATTAGTTTTCCATGGTTTTAGTGTTTGCATTCTACTTAATAAACCACCTACAATTGATATCATGTCAAAACAACATGGCGAACAAATTATTCAATGTCATTTCGATCTTAAAAATTAACGTTAAGTAACTATCGNTACTCAAAGTCAAAGCTGGTCTAATCGCGAAAAATATTGACCGCTGTGAGCGGGCATTACAGGAAAATACCGACCGGTCATTATCTGTCAACAGCCAATCAGAGCGCCCGTACTATCTAAGCCATATAATAATAATCAATACAGTCCACAGTAGAAAACAAGGGATTTGGCACAATTCAGTTCAATTAGTTTTCCATGGTTTTAGTGTTTGCATTCTACTTAATAAACCACCTACAATTGATATCATGTCAAAACAACATGGCGAACAAATTATTCAATGTCATTTCGATCTTAAAAATTAACGTTAAGTAACTATCGAGCGAGTGATCCGCGGACGGGGGTTAAGTGAGAGGGTGTGTYAGAAATCCCAGTCAAAATCTAAAATTAAATCCATTTTAAGCAAWTGTAAGTCTAGAATTGGACATTCAATGAGAGTTTTTGTATGTGAAAGGTAGCTATTTGTTAAGTGTTATCCTATTTTATTTGCTTAGCATCAAGTGGTGTTTTTATAGTTTCTATTTCACGGGTACTTTGGCAATTCAMTAACGATTACCCTATCGATATACTACTTAAAAATGTTCTCCAACCAAGCCATTTCACTGGTTGGTCGTTGGTACCCGCCTGTACAACAAAATATGGTCTTTACAAATTCTTCACCCATGACATGACCGCTGGTCAAGCGTGACGTCTGACGCACGATAAACAACACTTGGAYCAAGCTTCCCAACAACTGATCACGTGGAAAAAATCTCCGTTTTGATTGGTTAAAAACTTGGCCTTCCTTATGATGTAATTTTCGCCTTTGTTCCCAGCTTGACTTGAAAGGATTTTATTTACTCAAAGAAAAATTAATGTGATTTTTCTTTTTAAAATGTTTTGATGTAGAGGGATACTTGTCKATCAAGAAAAGGGAACATTTTGGTYRATGTGAACTCGTTTYAAGTTACTGACGGGTAGAAGAAAGGGTTATAATGGAGTTGTAACGCGCACATCATCACGATGTTGGCTGGGATTGTATTGGCCTTTTTTGGCATTTTAGTGGGAGGTAAGTGCTATATTTCAATTRTTTGACAAGAAAATAATCTTTTGAAACTATTTCAAGCATTTATCAAGACTATTATATATTATAATTATTATTAAACTATAGCCGCCTCTCCGCTTGAGAATCTTCAAAAATGTAAGAAAACTAAAGTTGAAGAGAATGTCACTCTTCGTGGAGGACTTAGCGCGGGAACATTTAGGAAGCTAGCCAAAGTCACAAGCATGGAGTCTTGTCTTGAGTTGTGCTGTAGAAATCCATCCTGTGATGTAGCTTTTATGTCRGGCTTAAAGTGTTACGGGGTGGAATGTGTAAGTGACGATGAGTGTGAATCCACTGCTACAGATACATCGGAAACTAAAGTTCTGATAGCCCATGTACGGACGGGTAAAAAGAAAGGTTAGTCAAGGAAAAAGAAACACAAAATTTGAAAAATCGCTGGCAGATTTTTACCGACGTTCTTCTACTTTTGGTAGATTTATATCGATATTTAGCAATTTTTGAAAGGCGTAAGAAGCGTGTTTTCTACAACAATATCAGATTTTATTTTGATTTGTAATTTTGCTGGTAGAATCGATTTATACCACACACGTGGCGATGTGTTGTGTGCTTGTCTTAGACAACGAGAAGCTCAAAAACACAACATAACTTTGTAAAAGTATTGCGTATTTATCAAGACCCTAGCGGTTTTTACTTGGAATGAATTTTTCGCTCTGTAAAGCCGTCAGCCAAGCGCGAAACAACTCAAGTTACTCTAGAAAAAGGGCGTAAATAATTGATAACAGTGCGGACCTGTTGGAGTGAAGTGATGCGAGAAAGACTGTGAACAACCCTGACAGGTTACAGGACTCGGGTTCATTGCCATGGAAACCGTTGGTATTTAAAAACTATTACAACTCTTCCTGGCTTACATATATGGACAGAATATAATGCCAAAAACTAAAAAAAAAAAATGAATCCAAAGGCGGTCATTATTGCTGTTCGTTGCGTAAATGTTAGTTTTCAACAATTAAGGAACTTTGCCCAGGTCGTATTCATCTTCAGTATTTTGGTCAGAGGTTGTCATWATGGAGTGTTTGAAGTACTTTGCTAACCTTTTCAATTCATTATAWTCTTGTTCTTGGAAAGGGAACATACATATAAAGAGTGGAGTAATAACTAGTGATTAGACTGACACTCCAGTCAATATACTAATAAAATATACCAATAAACATCGATTTTGGGTACTTCCTAGTATTTTTAAGTAAAGTATATAGTTTGCTTGGCGTCACCGTGTCGCGGCCCTATTTCCCACTAGGGAAGATGGGGATAAATAAAATAATAATATAGTTTGCATGTTTCTCAGTTTAAAYACACTAGTTAGCGTATATAGATGAGTTCAACATCTCTGATTCAGGTGCGTGAACATACGGAAGGTCTTCTTTTTGCATCGTTTCAATCAGTTTTCATTTGTATAGTTCTCCTTTTAGACTCAGAAATGTGTATGCTTTCCYCTTCATAARAGTGGGTGTCGACAGTCTCGTTTTCTGACCACAGCCAAAACKTGTTGYAGCGCTCTTGTTCGCTCGTCAGCCTATTAGAATCGTTTGTTTTAGTCTGCCAGCGAGTTTTCACTTGCCACTTGCTCAATTACTTGAGCCCCTTGTAACGTGTGATCTTTGCCGTCAAGTGGAAGAAACTTAACGTGCCCTTTTTGAAAAGTAAACCGATGACAATGCAGATGGTAATTGTGAGTTCTATCCCACTGTCATTGAAGTCTCTAGATTTAAACGTATAGTCCATTATCTTCAATTTCGTCTCTTGTCTCGACTGCACARAAGGGGCTTAAGTTTTTGAGTCTATTTCAATCACAYGTTAGATTAAAACGTTARTTAGGTTGATCAATTGTACACGATTTCGATCATCGATCAATAAAAAGCTGATCGAGCGAACGAAAGAGACTTACAACATGTCGTGGATTTTGTGAAGTGAAGACTGATCGGGTTTAGGGGTGTCTTCGGAAAGGAAATCGATTGCATGAGGAATGGATGTCGACTGATTAAAAGAGGGATTGGCAAATTATTAATTGAATGAAACTGATTTCCAGGAAACAAATCATCTGTCCTTGCTGGTATCCCGACCCACAATACAATGGCCAGCAAGCCTGTGATTGGTAATCCACTGACAACAAAAACAATTCCAGGAATGCAGGCTTCTACTTCACTGAGCCCGAAATCAACCACCTCTGGTAAGCAACAGGCACCARCAGTCAACATAAATCCAGGAATGGCTGGACAATGTAAGGCTGGTGTTGAACACAARGAGGTTACCCTTAAAGGAGGTATTAATGCTGGTACATACAAGGACATCGGTGCCGTACCTTCAATCGATGAATGTTCAAAGAAATGCTGTAGTTACGCACCCTGTGACCTCGCTTTCATGCTACAAGGACGATGCTATCTCGTGGGGTGTACTGACGGGAAGAGTTGTCAGCTTCAGAAAGCAAAAGCTTCTCCATATCACCCATCTGTCATGTACATGACGAGATGGAACAACGAGGGAGTAAAGCATACAAGTGAGCACCTATTTGGGTTTCCTTTATTAAAGTATGACGGAGGGGGAATGAGCAATGCCTTCAGACTCTGATTTCAAAATGGCGGTCGCGTGACATTTTGAGTGTGATGTCATGCTGGAGAATAGAAAGTAGCCTGTTGACGATCCTAGTTAAAATAAGCTTCTTATATTTTGCGCTTTTTGTTGCAGTTAACGTCCAAGATGAGACGTCGTCTAATTTCATGTGTAGTCCGATGAAGTTAATGAAAAAAGTCACTCTCAAAGGAGGACTTAAGTCTGGAGACTTTACCGATACAGGCAAGGTAAGAATATATTGAAACAACATAAACCTACAGTAAGAAAACTAGCTGCTAAACTATTTTGAGCTAAACGTATGAGCAACAAAATTGCTCAACTTGTCCCAAAGCATTCATCTCCTCTCGCAGACGTTATGAGGCTCGTTCCCAGGTCTTTGCCCCCGACGAGGGAGAGATCTGGGAACGAGCCTGATAACGGCTGCGAGGGGAGACTACCAGAGCATTGCTACAATCGAGAAGYGATTCTAGGCGTTTTCCCGCATAAAAGTCTTTTGCATCATGCACCAAGTGTATTCAGACTTTTGATTGGCTAATGCCATCAACTGCAGGAGCTGAAATTCATGTATCAGAGAATAAGTCAAATTTCAGGGGTAGCAATAGCTTTAAAACGAATGGAAAGTGGTCAACCTCTTGCAGTATACAAATGTTCAACATGCAACAAAACATATTGCCGCTGTAATGCCAAAAATCATTCTCGTAAAGAGAACAGGAAAAACAGYGTTGACAGACAGGCGATTTAAACACTCGGGATTTCTCCTCCGCTATTCATTACAACCCATGCTAATCAATAATCGTTTTTCTTTCATTTCCAGGTCGGTAATATTGGAGAGTGTTATGATTTATGCTGCCAGCAGCCTACATGTAATTTAGCTTTTATGTTGGGACAGAACTGTTTCTCAGTGAAATGTTTTAATAAAGACTTATGTTCGACAATACCTGCACAACCTTCGATATATAACCCACAGATAGCTTATGTATATAACAGGAAGGTCGTACAGCCCAAAGACAAAGGTGAGTGACTGTGAATGATAATCATATCAGACGCGTAAATTATCGATTAATTAAGGAACCACCGAAAGAGGCACTTATATGCACTACAAGCCTTTCCTAWTTATATATTGCGTTTATTTTTGCTATCAGCACAACCTGCAAGCAAGAAATCAGAAATCATCAAACCAGCGCCTAAGTGTCCAGTAGGAAAAGTAATCGAGAGAGTCACTCTCGTCGGGGGTTTAAATGCCGGTAATTTCCACGACAATGGAAAAGTGAAAGACATTCAGCAATGCCGACGAATCTGCTGTGAAATGCCGAAATGCAATCTTGCGTTTATGCTTGGAGTGAATTGCTTCTCAGTTGAGTGTAAAAATGCAGCAGTTTGTAAAACTCAGCCTGCACAACCTTCGCAGTTCTTTCCACGAATATCGTATGTACGACCTATTGGTTCATCTAAGTTCATGGTGACAGGAGATTTTATGAAACTCTCAGGAGTCTCCGAACCTGCAACGAAGAGTGATATTCCTGGTCTACCAGCACCAGCTTCTAAACCGGAAATCGCTGGTCTACCAGCCACCAAGCCAGCAATTCCTGGCTCATCTGCACAACCTTCTAAACCGGTCATTCCTGGCTTATCAGCACCAGACACTAAACCAGCCATTCCTGGACTTCCCGATGCCAATAAACCCGCTTTACCMCTTAGTAGTCCGGCAAATAAAGCACAGATACCACCGCTATCGAACRTTCAAGCAATTCCTGGACTTCCTGGCGAACCTGGTATACCACAGCAACCTGGCCTTCCCCAGCAAACACCCATTCCTGGTCTTCCATTGCAACCATCACAGACTTTAGAAGCTGCATTAGGAAAAGCATCAGTGGAGCCGGCTACTAACTCAAACCTTAATGGTCTGCCTGGACAACCACAAACACCTAGCCAGCAACCTAAACAACTTGAGCAACTATTRCCAGGACCGTCAGGTAAGCCAGATAATCCACTATTAGGACAACTACCTGCAGGAAATCCATTGGCTGATCTTCCAGGAACGAGTCAGCTGCCTGTACAGCCCACACCTACAAGCCAAACGACTCAGGTGACCATGCAACAATCGCAGTCACCAGCACCTGGACAAAGTAAGCACTTTCTCTATGTACCATTTATAGAAAGTAACATTATATCAATATTTTAATTATTTTGATTTAGCGACGCAAATTCCACAAAGTGTTCCAGAACAGAAGAAAACTGAACTTCCAGAAATCCCAACCAMTGATGTTTCTAAAAAGATCAACTTGACGAGCACCATCAACGATGCGAAACCAGGACAGGCCATGAAGATGAACATCGTTGATGGGAAATTACAACTAACTCCTGTAGGCACCTCAAAGGACCATCCCAAGAAAAATGCCACGTCATCTGCTGGCGCCTTTGATGCCATATTAGGAGGTGATGATGACACTCCCAACGATAAATGCCTGGCTGCTAAGATTATTACTGACGTCACTCTGAAAGGAGGTAAAAAGGCGGGAAAATTTAAAGATCAAGGTGATGTAAAGAATATGAAAGAATGCAAGAAGCTTTGTTGCGAGGATGACAAGTGTAACCTTGCCTTTATGTTGGAGAAAACGTGCTACACCGTCACCTGCAAGTCCGAAAAACTTTGCGAGCATACACCAGCACCTCCATCTGACTTTCGGCCAAGAATATCTTACGTTAGACCACTTAGTGATACACCTTCAGGTAACCTATCATAGCTGTYAATGCCATTATGTTGTTACTGTTTAGCGTGATTTGAAAACGTTATCCTACCTCTCCTGGATGAAATACACGAAGTCTCGTACTGCCCTAGRGAAGAATCTCAAAGTTAAAGATTTTGTGAAATGAAATTCAAGTACAGCAGGCAAGCAGTTGTGCAATTAAATGCCATGTCTCAACTTTTATTTTTTTAGAGCCCAAAGATCTTCCTTCAATACCCAAAGCACCAGAAAACCTTAGATGCAAGTACAGCAACATTACCAACAACAAACAATTCCAGGGACCAATGGGAACCGACAACTTTACCATACAACATGATGCCAGCAACATGCCAGAATGCATGACTAAGTGCTGTGAGGATACCAAGTGTGATATTGCTTATTATGTCCAGGAAAAGTGCTATACTGTWAAATGYGACARTAAAGATGCTTGCAAACCCATCCCTGTCAGCGATAAAACAAAGGATAAAATCCCKCTGATTTCAGCCATGATCATGAAGCCTAAGGATGAGCCAGACTTTGTTACAGGTCAGTGATACGATGATTATGATTGCCGTATACATCTATAACTACGTTGAATACTGAAGATAGTATACACTATGCTGTAAATTGTCAAAATATTTTCTGTCGTTTCCAAAGTAGCAGGTACTTGTGAATTCAGTAACTAATATAAAACGTGGACCAGTTCACAAGCAAGCATTTAATAGCATACAAATTTTACACTTAGATTTTGAGAGCAAAAGTTCAGCCTCACCCGAAGTGACAGATCTCCAAACATCACAAGAACGTTGCCACAGTAACCGAATATCGACAGGCATCACACTGACAAATCAAGGCAGTAATTTTACTAGCATGGGMATGGTAAGTCAAACGAACTTTTAAGGCCCGTTTACACTTGCGATTTTTTGCATTGCTATCGCGCAACTAAAATCGTACGTGTAAAGAGCCGTATGATTGTTGCGGTGATGAAAATCGACGCGAAGCTGCAGACAACTTTCAAGAATGCTCGAAACTCAGGCGATGTTCGCGCGACGATCGCCGCGAGAATCGCTCTGCAAAAATCGCAAGTGTAAACGGGCCTTTATATGGGTGAATAAAGTAAAAAATTGAATGAAGGTGAAGAAGAAGAACGGTAAGATTATAGATGGATGGATGGGTGAATTCTGTAATAAATAAACAAATAGTTTGCTAAATGATTGGTGATTATATCAAAAAATGAATCAAGAAGCAAATAACTGTTTATGTGCACAAATAACAACCTCTTTACCAGACCCTGATCTCCCAAACCCCTGTCCCTGAGGTTGCAAAACTAAACGAAATCGCATTTTCACAGGTTGGGAGCTTAAAGAAATGTATCGCGCTCTGCTGTGTTCGTCCAGCGTGCGATATCGCGTATTTACACGACGATAGATGTTTCGCCGTCCATTGTAACGATGGTGTAATGTGTCAATCAAACGCACATCAGGCTGATGAGGGAGTYAACGTTAAAATGGCATATATGGACCGCAACAAGAAGCCCGCAAAGGAAAGAGGTAAATACATTCACATTCGCTTCTCATTTATTCATCTATAGATATATTCATTGATTTTTAATCCATTATTAGATTGGATGCTTGTCTACATGATAGTCGGGGCGTTAGCGTTCGCTGCTGTAATTGGAGGCGTGATATGGGGYGTTTGTTTGTGCACTAAAAGGTAGGACATCTTATGTTCTTCTAAAGTGWGATAARTGGATCCATAGGGGTGAGGAATMGGATGGGGCTGGAGGAGGYCCTTGGGATAAGAAGGGTGTAAAGGTGACTTACTAATGATTATTGTACTTAATATTACTAACATTGCATTGTGATTCTTATTTTTATACAAAGGAACAAAATAGCAAAACAACGAAGGTTGCTTGATGATGACGATGAGGATGACGAGATGCTACCAAAACGTGAGTATACACTAGCCTCCTTCGCATTCATCACTGTAATTCCCCCTGTTTTTRGGTTTCCTGTGTATGCGATGTGGAGACTGGGGCGAGAGAGTGGGGTTAATATATATACTTGCACAAAGGAATCCCAAAACGGATTAATGGAGGAGTAATGTGTTCATTATCGCGACTACCGTGGACTGGGTATATAAGAAGCTTCAAAGTGAATCWAATAAAAAATATACTAATTAAGCTGACTGTCGTAACGAGAGTTGCTATWAAGCAGGACCACTTATGGTGGCTTCATAGCAATCAATCCAGGATTTATTTAGTCAGTCCAGGTGTCATGGTGTTTCTAGTCAAATTCATTTTTTCCCAATAGCTTTCTTTTTTACCATGAAACTGAAATATCTACTTGATACAATGTGTCTTTTGTCTTTATATATTCTATTATTATCGTCATAAAAAWTTATAATTTTATTTTATTTTTTTCAATTTACCCAGCGACGCAAACAAGATACAGGACACCAATGCATCGATACTAAAACCAAAAAACACGTTTTGCACTCTTGAAAACGTTCGTCGGAATACTGGTTCCTAACGAGACAAACAGGTCTACAGCGGCAGGACAAACATGTCTATCAAACTGGAAAAACATGTAATTGGACGATTAACGGTTGGAAGTCAACTATTCATTTAGATTTCCGTGCCATAAGTGGCTCAAAAATACTCCGCTAAGTGATCYAAAGTGCTTTTAAGAACTTAATTGTCAGCGATGTTCAATTGACTTTCAAAAGCACCTGTGGTTTTATCAGCTTTCTCATTTGTTGACATTGTCGTAGGTATACTTCATTTGGTATCTTTCTCGAAACCTCAGTTTATAATTAGCAAAATTCGCACAACAACAAGCTTACTTTTGGGCACAAATTATTATCTATTTTTATTATGTATATATATATCATCAMCTGCGTTCCCGAACGGACGACTGTGAAGAAAAAATTCTGAAGACATTCTCTCACCCAAACACTCTTCGCCCCCAGCCCGGCGGAGACTCTGAACGATCCTGAAGAAACTTGGAACCAGAGATCTGGTTTGGGTTTATCAAAGGGCTTAAATCACAGGGTTTCCTAGAGACCTTCGATGAGGAACGAGAAGGGTTGGGTATGAGAAAAAGACCGCCTTCCTTCTTTTTTCTACCCAGTCTTCTGCGCCTTGTTGCTAGGAACGCCTGCCGGCCCAGGTTGAATCAATAAGACTTTGGATAGGATTTTATTAGGGAATTAGTTCTCACCGAGAATTTTCTGTAAAAAGCTTAGATCTCGTTGACTTTTCTTGTCACTCATAGATATACAACTGCATTTAGATAACGACAAGCTATAGTATGTCTATAGTATGTCTAATCTGTTTCCTAACGATTATAAAATCAATATTTAATAAATTTGGAAGAGAAAACTTGGAATTTTTAAGCTTAACATAGCTTTCGTAATGTAATAAATATATACTTTTGATACCATACTTGTGTATTTTCATGATGTATATAAAAAAATCGTTCTTCTCAGTTAAATATAACACATAAAAATCCTGTATCCCATTGACTCTTAAAAATTGGGAAGGAATCTAAAATCCCCAAAAGATAAAAAAATACATGCAAAATAAAGGGTAATAAACTGTAGCAGTGTATTTCGTGATTAACGGCATATAATTCTAGTTTAATTCTAATTTTCACTCTAGGTTTTTTTTTTTTTTTTTTTTTTGGGGGGGGGGGGGGGGGGGGGTCGGGGACTAAGAAAGTCCCACTCTAATGACCCCATGGATGCGTCAATTGGTTGGTATGGAGAGTCTTAAAAGCTTCCCACTAGTATTCACCTAAATAGGAATCACTTCAGAAAAAAAGATTTTTGATGTGTTGGGTTGGCTGATTACGTAACTCATATTTTAACAATTTCATTTCCGGCCCCAGGCCTTTTTTGATATCCCGGAAAGGCGAATTCAAAGTGTTTCTGATGTGACTTGAGAAGTACACAGGGTTGTCTCAAGTACTAGCTTAAAAACATTTTAGAACCAAGTTATGCAACAGTTGTATAAAGAAAACAGACAGGAATCCTTGTGATACGATCACCACAAGACGTCGATAACCAGGGTTAAAATAGCGATTTCTATACTGCATGTCACTTCGTCTTTCAGACAACTAAAATAGCACTTTAGAAATAAAGAAAGGAAAACAATATCAACAAATGTGAAGAACAAAAAAAAATAGAACCCAAACATTTGAATTAAAGACAGGAAGCTAATCAGAGAAAGAGAATGAAATAAATACGTCAGAAAAAAAAATATACGTCACAAAAAAAATTATCTCCATTTTAAAAACATTCCAGATAGTGTATTTGTCAGKGAATATTTAACCCTGGAGCAACCTTGCGTGAGGTAAGTAAGACCCTTATTCAAGAGAAATAACGGAAAAAATACTGAAAAATTAATAAGTAAAAGTGAAAAWGAGAAAAAAATAATTTTGTCCAAAAACCTCCAAATGTTACTTGCATAAATCCTTGACCTATAKAAAGGGAAAATTGCCGACAGAGGACCAGGTATTCATATAAGAATTTCTATTTTGTGGACAGATAATCTGATCTTCGGTTGCGTCAATCAAGTGTTTTAYATAATGAAACCTATTTCAATTCTTCCAACCGTTTTTATGTGCGGTTACTGCACAGGTGTTCGAWATGAAAAGGTGATAAATAAACATGCTAATCGATTCCCTTGACATTACTTATACAACTGACTCGCTGTCAAATATATTCCAAACAGGTGAACTGTACTTCTATTTATAAGAGAGCAAGTATGTTGAATAATAGCTGCAATGCTCTGGAGGGYATGGATACCATTGAGAAATCTCGTAAGCAGCTAGTTRTATTTGTGACTATCAATGTCGTCTCTATGGTCCTGGCCATTAGCACCAACACCATTGTTCTATGGRTAACTTACAAGACCCATCGTCTGCATAGACCAGCTAACTATATCATATGTTCCCTCGCTGCTACAGACCTATTAACAGGCGTTGTATCTATTCCATTCTACGCTTTCTCAGTTTCCAGACATCATGTATGGGAAAAGAACGAAGTTCTTATTAAGATAGATGACGCGCTCTCCGCTCTTTTACTCGTGGGCACGACTCTTCATATAGCGGGCATAAGCATTGATAGGCTTATTGCTATTAGATGGTCTTTAAGGTACCACACTATAATGACACATAAAGCCACTTTAAGGATTATAAAATCAATATGGCTTATGTCGATAGTGCTTTCTGTACCCCTTCTTGGTACATATACGACTAACAATGACTATGATGACTATTACAGGATGGGTTTATTAKTATTGATGCTGTTTGGACCTTTTCTAGTAACTTTGTGCTGTTATTTTTATATCATTAAGAAGACCAAGGAACAACAACGGAGACTTTACCCAAATCAAAATCAAAAGAGTTGGAGATACAAAGTAAAAACTACACCACATTTAAGAAAGAACCGCAAAGCTATGAAAACGTTTTTGATCATAATTATTGTATTTATTCTACTTCTGTTACCGACTCTTCTAAGCTCGGTTTCACTTGTCCTTTCAGACTGCACAGAGTTTTATGAAATTCTTATCTATAGGGACTGGTACATGTTTATATTTTACTCCAGTACCTATCTCAACCCAATCATATATGCTTTTACAAACAGAAGCTTTAGAGCAGCATTTAAAAAAGTCTTTTTCGCTAATAAGAATGTATCCACAGCCACTGCAGTCAATTCCGCTGTACCTAAGTATAAAATKTCRGCCTTCTAAGCTCAATAAAATAAGACTTTGAACGTTTTACAGCGGTTAATGACCCGTTAATTAGTACGTAAATTAAAAAAAATAGAAGTRTATTTAGTAAAAATATTATTCATTTGCCGAAAAAGACCGAAAAAAAACAACTTTTAAGGTTGCGCGAAATATCCATGCAATTAACTATTTGAACATCAAATGTTGGCTTTACGAGGTATCTTGAAAGAACCCATAACTGGCTAATTGTTGTTCGCTGTCTTTATTGACAATATACGCTCATTCAGCAAAAATGAATTCTATGTGGCCATCAAATTGTTTGTTGATTATTCATTCATTAACTCCAGCTGCCTGAGCAACACTTTGTTTGGAGGTAAAATGTCACGTTCATAAGCTGCTAGATTAATCAAAGTGACATGAAACTGAAAAGAATGAAAAACAAGGAAAGAAAACTTCAAAGAGAATGAAAAAAGAAAAGTMTTTTAGTGCCCCGGATCTAAGGTACAATGTCGGAAAATTCCCGATTGATAAAAATTTCATCTACGATATCTCTTAGTATTTTTCAAGAGCGGGAAATATGTACCTATTTAGTCAAAACACAACTTCATTCCTGTTTTAACAGCTGTGCTCGCCGAATTTATGCATGAAAAGTAGTTCCAAAGGAAACATTACCAAATGAAACCATAGATCAAATATATTATTCTTGCTGTCGCTGTGACATATGTGTGGTTTTATTATTAAAGGTACAATTCATTGACATACAAAGTACTTGTTTGATTAACGACTGTTCGCTCGTCAAATCCTTGTGCAATTAGTATGTAAAATGAAATGAAGCTACTTAGAGCGTTTTCCATTACACTGTACTGAWATCATTTCCTCTAAAATAAATGGTACCTTTTGCGGACCCTTTTCGAGCGCAAAACTTCACATGCGTCTAACTTAGTACCGATATATACCGCACAATTTTCTCRAGAGCAATGTTTTCTTTGCGCTTGTTCGTCACTTCTCTGCAAAAATACTAGTAACTGCGCCGTTTCTATAAAGGAAGCTTAAAACCTAAATTTTGAAATTGTTTTAATGTGCTTTAAAAATTGTAAAGATTATATTGCCCATCATCGTTTGACAGATGTTAATAGATAGATTCTTACGCGCCTGTTTTCAGAGCACAGGAAACCMAAAGAACTGATAAGCTGTGAAGGCAAATACTGCGCTAMATTATATTTTTCAGACTGAACACTTTGGCAGTAATTTTTCTTTATCATTTCCAGGAAATGGGATAATAAAAAGTGTATACAATTTTACTATCAATTCTTTGATACAAGTTGTGATAGTTCTTTTTCAACTTCTTCYACAAAAGCTGGAAAGTTTGCATCAGTCAGACATAGTCTTATGAACAAACCAAGRCGAGAAGTTGGAACGTTTGTGTTTTCATACGCTTTTTGGGCATCATTTGATCTTGATGACTGGAAAAWAGAGATAGAATACCCAACCAGGTTTTGTGGCGAAAGTTACATACTTATCCTTACATAGTGTTTCTYTGTCTAACGGCAAGAGTAACCACAAAAATGCATTGAAAATAAATGGACAGATGAATGAAAAAAGCAACTAAATAATATTTTCCTATTTTAAGTCAAGTACTGACCTTTCTAGCCGAATCAGCTAATGATACGGCTGCCCCTGCACAATCGCTAGTAGACCCACTGCTTGCTTGGGATGATGGGAGGGTTTGAGAGTCCTCCATGGGTACCTGAGAATCATCTTGTTCAGCAACAGCTACGTCCTTGATACTGAACAGTCCAGCCATTGCTTTCACAAAATCACGACAGACTTCAAGAGAAGACTTTGATGAAGTTGTACAAAATTTGATGCGAAARCGTCTGGTGTCGTCCTTGAAGAAATGTTATTATAGATAATATTTTATCTGTTGTTTATATATGTTCGCTGAAATAGACGTTGAGAGATTTATTGAATGATATTATGATCGATTGATGGAAATAAATTAACTTATGATCTGTTTTAAAGCGGGTCAGTAATAAGTTACATAAAGTACACAAAAACAAATTTTTAGCTCCCTCTCTAAACATTTTTAGCCCTTAGAATATTAGCTCTTACCTTGTGTTTATACAAAAAGAGAACACTGTCTCCTTTCRCTGCTGCTCTCAACCATTTCTTCGCCTCGAAAAGTGAGAARCTTTCCTGTAAAGCAGACTGATTTGTAAGCTAGATGGGAAGGCTCCAAGTTCAGTTCTCTCCTGGTATCATTTTTTATGCTCAAATAAGGATAATTCAAAGTTCACTAAAGATATACCATAAAAGCTTATTGACTTACGTACATGGATTTGAGACTGACCACCAGATATCGATGAGATTAGCATTTGGCTGAAACCAGTACAYGAAACCCAAAGATCACTTGATTGGCTTCGTGAAATCTCCTTCAACAGTCGAGAAATGTAATTTTAAACAAAAGCAAGTCTTATATAAAAACATATTTTGACACGTTTGACGATAAAGTCATTTCCTGAGGGCAATTTATTTCAGAACAATTAAAGTTATGAAAGGGAACTCATTGTTGATGTAAGATTAAAGTAAGCTCAATGCATTCCTTCAAAACAGACCAAAATACCTTCCAGTTATTTGGATCTCTGTAGCTTTGTGCCATATTTGGTACSGAAATACACTTTGCAAATCGTTCTAAAGGCCATGAGCGGTAAGAAGACATCTCATCTACTCGTAAAAACTATCTCTATGAAGATAAGCTTACATGCATGTAAAAAAGCTAGTTGTTCACTTTCCCGCCAAAACTTGGTACGCGCGCGCGCTCTGGCTTTGCTGTCTTGGTTTGGGCATCCTGTGGTGTGAGTGCGGTGGAAGACAGCATGAGGCCTTGTCTGTTGGAAGACGGCGATAAAAAGGAAATTCATCCCACAAAACCGGTGAAAACGAAATAGATAATTACTTTACAGAGTAAAATTCAGGTAAGGTAAATTCAAAGTTATAAATGTCATATAAAACTGGTGAAAACTTTCACTTTAATTCGAAGTTTGAGAGGTCAAGATGATGGACTAGAATCATCTGAATCATGTAGAAATTTTAGCTTGAATCTTCAGTCTTTCAATAAACCTTACATATTTCTATGTATCATTCTCTAAATATTTAGGTGAAACGTCCGTTTTGTGTCTCTGAGAGGGGTTGAATGGCCATTTGACAGGAAAATGGTGTGTAGTTCTCAAAGGTTATCAAKCTCAAAATACAAGGTAATGTAAATTGCTTAATCTCTACACATTTTAATCTGGTTGAGTATTATGCTACTTAAGCTTACAAATCTTGGTTAGACTATGTTTTATATCATGGGTWTTCTCTCTATGTACAATTACAATGAGCTATTTACAATTGTATTTACATAATATACTTATTGACATATTGTTGATCTACCTATAGTCTAAAAACGTTGAGATCTTACTTTATATCAATATTGATMATTAAAGGTATTATTCTTTTAAATACCTATAAATAGTATAGGWTACTGTGGCAATAGTTCCTAATGGTCTAAAATGTGGGCTTCCTGTTCCATATATAGGCAAAAGGGATTGTTACCTATCAGGTATCACAAAGGGATTACATATCAGGAACCCATACTGACATAACTACTAATTCAAGCAAAAATGTCTCAGGTTATAGCAATCCCAGTGCCATTTACTTCAATAGCAATGAGACTTGCGCTAATTCATCACTTATACACCTATTTTCTAATAATTTCTTCCAACTTTATGCAGTCCAACTGTTTCATGTTTTGTAAAGAGAAGATACCAGTGCTAGTGTTGAGCATGCAACAAGTGCAGCTCCAGATGCAACTGTTCCTGATGAGCTTCTYARTGTTGTAGCTTCATCTGCTTTTTGGTTTYCAATACCAGAATTAACAGCAATTGAACTACTGGTCRTAGTCAAAGTTCTTTGAACTTTGTTATTAACATTCTCTGTTGTGGGATCTGTTGAATGTTYATTTTGCAAAGTCTCCTTTGTGGTACTTTTTGCTGATGGATTATTTTTTGGAAAAGGGGGAAGTTTGGTTGTAGATGGTTTCTCAGGAAATGTTATTGTTTTGGCAATGGTACCACCAGTTGTARWTTGCACAGTTGTCTGAGCTGCACTTTTGGTGGTTTTATCTGYTGAAGTCATAATGGTCTGAGATGGCATARGGGTGKTTTTTGGAGCCTTCTTYACAAAAATGTTATAAAAATACCTTCCTCTACTCACACCCAATGTTTTTCKAGAGACAAGACAGGTCAACATTCCACAATCTTSCTTGGTGACATTTGTGATATTCAGCATTCTTCCAGTCAYTGTTATTCTCCCTTTRGTTGCTTGAGGAGAAATTGTTTTGGCTTTCCCACGATGTTTCGCACGGAATTTCCACTCAATTTTCTGAATATCGTTATCWGGTATATCTACTTTACAATACAAAGCGAGTTGACTTCCGCTGTAAACATCCAAGTCTTCGCAGATGATCTTTAGACTGTAGATATATGTTACCCGGTAACGATGAATTGTTGAGKAKGTATGACAATAAAACTTTTTCTTGGTATCTGCTTGTTGGACATTTTTCACAATAAGTGAGCTATTGYTATAACCATATTTGGAAGGATCATTTGGGACTCGCTTTCGTCCCCTTTCAGGAGGGATGTGCACTTTCCATCTATGCCTTGAATCAGACGTGCCTCCACATGGTAAAATAGCTTGGTCATGTTCACAGACATTAACYTCATTTTCAATGATTTTAGCTTSAGTGTCCTTTAGTGCCTGTAGTCCAACAGAAAATAGAATAATGAAGAGAAGTGCCTTTTTGTCCATGTTATGTACTTGTTCCATTTACTAAACCTGAAGAACATAAACAACAATATAAGGTTTATGTTTCTCTTTTGTATTTTAGTTAAAGATTTCAAAGTACCATTTTATCATTCATTGTTGCAATACTTTTTTTGATTAATCCRTAGGTTTTGTGTGTTTTGATTACACGCAGTCCTCATTTTAAAGCTGTGATTGTACTATCCTATATTGAAAAAACTTTTATATATATATAGTTTTGTTTTGCGGATTGCAGTTCAATAAGTCTAATCTGRTCAACTTGTATATTAAGTATACTTTGAGTGTTTGTACTGCGTTATATAAATTATAAAGTAACTAGTCATATATCTTCCTCAATTACCTAAAATTAGACTTTCCTAAGTCAGGCACTCTTTTATCCCAAGGAATGGGTGAATTTTGAGCGCGAAGCACTATGGTCGAGCRCGGAAAACGGACTTGCAGAATTCTCCCTAAATTCAGGCGTATTAATTGTACAGTWATTCYGAGTAGAATTGAGAATGAGCATATATGTTTTCACAGAAGGACGAACTCCTTTGATCGTGTGTAGCCTTTGACGGCCTCCAGTAAATACCAAAGTTTATCAAGGTTGTACGATCAAAGTCGGGTGAAACAAGGTGGAAAGAATACTTCTGACCTTATTATACACAAACTGATAACTTTTATGTCAGATTATGTGCCGTGATTGTATCTATGGTAAACGACGCCTTTAAACAAAACACTTGAAATGTATCAGACGTACAGGATTAGTTGCGGAAACTAGAGTATTACGGTCMAAAACGATGACATCTGGAATGCTGGCATATTTTATTTGTATTTTGTAATTTGCCCTATTCTGAACACTACACTCAGTACGGCTACATTTTTCATTTACAATATACTAAGGGAAAGGATATGAAAATAGTGCAAGCCAAAATTGATATCCATCATTTAATACATAGTAAAATATATCGAACATAAAACGCAAATATATATATAATATAGAGGATATTACATGGGTGCGTAGAGATACGGATTTTATCTTCGAGTGTTGAAAAGGATACCTTGAGAAGATCTCTCACGAGTGAGCGTAGCGAAAGATAAAATTCGTATCTCCAAGCGACCATGTAATATTCTGTTTATCACATAATTAAAAACCGTACACCYCCATTCACCCATTCAMATTCCATTTATCCTTTCATTCTTGCTTTTAAAAAAGACAAGCACTATTTTAGTGTATAAGACGTTTCTACGTTTACACTCTTGTTAGGTTAAGCAGGATCACTTAAAAAGCCTTGTAGACATCTGAATCTTGTTAAACGTGGACCAGGGCCTGGTTGTTCAAAGCCCGATTAGCGTTAATCCAGGCTTAACTYCATAGGTTTTCCAAGAGTTAACTCAGGATTAGCGCCAATCGGGCTTTGAACAACCCAGCCCAGTTGTCATAGTCGATCAGTAATTCCCTCTTTATTAAGACATGGTTGCATGCATTCTAAAGTGCCCCACCGTGAATAGTAGACACGCTTCTTTTCAACTTTCATTTCACAATTGCGCAATTGCGCAACGGTGTCGTAAGGTTATCAATCGACCGATGCGCATCACCAGCGTAAACGCATTAAACGCGTTAATTTGTCGTAACTCACTAAACATGTCAATTATAGATGGTGACAAATGTTTTTTAATGCACTTCACTTTATCGATCTATTGTTGATCTTGTGGGAAAAATATGCATTCCCTGTATATTTGCATTTGAGCATTTACGTTGCTCCACTCATCAACACACATGCATGAGCAAATCGAATAACTAATCATTTTACCAAAAAAGGTTAGATAATGCAATCTTTTTGTCTAAATTTTGGAAAAGCTCTAAGCATCAATTATTAACAACTTCGCGTATCTCGACTTCTCCGCAGCGGCAATGGCACGCCTGGCTACGTAAGCTATAATGAAGCGTATATTTTGCTTTTCGATTATTAGTAGGGTACAAGGGTCTCCCATGTTCATCGTGGAGGCCCCATTAACATTCATAATTGCATTTTTGACCTCCACGTACCAAATAGAAGGTTTATGCTCTCCCGAGGTCATTGAATACTCATTATTGAGATGCTGTGTTTTAGAAAAAGGCACAGTCAATCACACCGAGCACATGCAAATACAAATGAACTTGGTCCATTCCAAGTTTGTAATAAAACAGGTTATAAACCGGTTTATGGCTACGTGCATGACCTGTTCGATATTACAAAGCAAAGTCAATCTTTTGAATAAGAATTACCTGCGATGAATTAAAGAGAGTGATTCAAGAGGAAAATAGGCACGTTCCTTCTTGATTTTTTCATCAAAACCGGCCGCCTAAACCGTCTAAACCTGAACCAAAGACGTGCAGTCTTGTAGCAAGCTTTGTGTTATCAGTCAATTTACTCGAATTTCACTCGTATTTGTTGTTTTATCTCGTTGTATGTTGACTGATAACGATAATATGTCTAACATATCGGTATATTCTGACAGTCAGTGAAATAAGAGTATAACATATGAAGACCCTGCATTGCCCTCCAGTAGCGAAAACGAATGTAGTTCTAATCAACCATTAATGATATAAAAATAAAGAAAACGCAAGAATATTTTACTGTCGTTTATATATACGAGTGATCTTTCATCAACAAAATTKTTCGTCTCCCTTCTTATTATCTCTGCAAACAATGAAATCTAAGTACGTTTATAGACATTAGAAAAACACTATAAAACACAGTGAAATAACACGTAACTCGCGTTTTATGTCATTAGAAATCTCTCTGATTTGATAAAGTAGTCAAAGTATAGTTATTCAATATCAAACGTCCTTGCTTTTTGCAAAATCTTTAAGAGAGCGGGAGGAATTAAGAAACCTAGGCAAGAAGCGAAATAGTCAAAACAAGCAGCAACAAAGATCAAAAACAAGGCAATTAAAAAGGAGACAAAAAAAACCGAATTAGACGCCATCTTGGACACCCGTCTCTTTACGTTCCGGTCCATAATCGGTTTGTATACGAAAAAACAGCGAGAAAAAAAGAGACCTTTTGCGGTAAATGAAAATACCACAAACAACTGAGAATGWATCTTACTGCTATTAAAGTGATGATTAAATATTAATAGTAGTCTTTATGTATTGTTTTTACATCGCTCATGTGAAATAATCTGAACTTATAGTGTGCAAGATCATTGAGGGGTAACATGGCTATGTTGATTTGATTAATCCGATCTAAACTGCTTAAAAAGTGTTACTTAAAACAAAGAAAAGTTGCAGGTCATCTCTGATTTTCATTCATTTCAAAGTTTTKGCAAATCCTACTGGCTGGCAACCGTSGCTCCTTAGGAAATGTTGACTTCTTAATGGTCCTTAATCATTGAACTAGCCTAACAAATGGTTGTCAACAGGTTCGGGAAATATTTATTTTATAGCGATTAATACTAGTCAATCAAAGTTTGGTTTAAGGTTAAAAGTACTCGTCCATTTCATACCATTTCATCGTATATCACCTAGTAATATCACCGCTTATCATCGTCAGAAAAAAAACCCTTTGTAAATTAATCAAAAAGACCAAGCTAAAGCGATGTCTATCATGAGACCAAACCCCTAAAAAAACTTTTGTCCTCTCCAAAAAAAACGTTTTTCCTCTCCCAGGTGAGTTTGCTMATTACTAGCACCTAGACTTCCGTCAATATGGCCAATATTATTGACGCGTCTACGAATATGAAAGTATAAAACCGATGCATTGTCTTCAAAACAACAGCCACGTTCTAAAAAAAACCCTAGTTTATGATTTGTCGAATAACCTAATTTCCTACAATATAAGTACTAACAGCGTGTAATAACATTRTATCAATGTCTTATAACAAGACAAAACTATTTCTTGTTCGAATAACAGCTAACATTCCGTGGAAAGTTGACATTAATGTACAATATAGTGTCACTTTTGCGTMACGAACTAGTCTGTTTTGTGGCTTCTGTGACGATTCATTGCATAAAGACACATGTAAGGCACTTCTCTTAAGTATCCTTCCCGCTCTTGATCATACATAAACAGAGCGTTTCACTTAATGAAAACACAACCAATTCAATATATGTGTGAATAGTGAGGTACTATTATCTGAAAGAACCAAAGCTGCTTTGCCAAAGTATTGTTGTCAATAGTGACGTCCTAATAATAGCTAGTATTCAATGACTTCTATACAATGTACACTTCGGCTAAAGAATATCATCMTACAGAATACTATGCTGGCCCACAAAACACCTCACTGACCCTCAGTTAACTACTTGTGCTACAGTGTTACTAATCGTTATAGTACTTCTCGTGTGGAACGAATGTAGCGTCGAACCATGTGCAKCTCACCGCACTGACATTCACCTCAATGAAATTAAAATCTGAAGAGAATCTTAATAATATAACGTACCTTCTCAGTATTCAGGCAACTACGAAAAATTCCTTTCTTTTCAGATCTTATAATAATAATTTAAGGTCGYCCAGAACCTCTTCCTCGAAAAGCTTTCTTGGTCTAATTGACTTCCGATTGATCAGCAGCACGCATTTCTWCAGACGTGAGGTCCTTAGAGCGTTGAAATCTGATTGGTCAAACAATTAACATACTCAACGTCATATGATAGACGGTCACAGAACACAAATCATTAGCTATWTATAGGTTCAGAGCATTTATAAATCAGAAGCTCAGAACCAGGAAGAACATTTTTGATAAATTGACTTCTCGCGTTTCTCGTGTTTCGTGTTTCGAGTTTTGCGTTTGATCTTTTTTTAGTCATTTTTATGGAGCAGTTTTTTAATTATTTTCTTATTTACAATGATATCCAAGTAGTGTTCTTTTTTCTCCTTTCTTTTATTTCTCCTGTTTACWTTTTTATTTTCCTAAGAAGTTCCTTTCCTTTCGCTTTCATTTATTTTTCATTCATTCCAATTGTTTTGCATTGTCAGCAGTTTTCTCCCCTCAAATCAACCAGCTGAATCAGCAGTTCCAACCATGACAATTCATTGGCTGGATTCACTCGTGTGATTCATTAATTAAAAGAAATTATCTCAAATTGGAAAATTGCCTGTTATYGAGAATAATCATCTATATCGCACCCATGAGGGTTTTCCCATGTGATCAGGTATTGGGGGTTTTCCCTTGGCACACCCACAAAGACGTCATTGGACGTTCTGCTTCAGTGGCGTTGTTAGTACAAGCACGTGTATCTAATAAACTTTTACTTGTTTATTCCTAGTCCACTTTATTGAAATTCTGKGAAACGCCGATTCATTATATATACAGATTACATAGTAAATTMAGAGAACTTTTTCCAAAAACGTAGCTGTTGTTTTTGTTGATTTTGAAGKTTACAATCCTTATATGGAAGCAATTCAATGCCGTTCCCTAGCGTCAGTCCATGTGGCGGTGTATGACGTCAAAGGTCTATGTTACTAGCTGGTAAAGTGTCTCGTCCCTATCTTTTTCCTGTTTTTGTTGGCATGGAACGCTGCTTAGCACYGCATGACGCTCTTTCTTAAATTTTTCAGTCTCGTCCCATGAATCCGATTTCGGGTCCGGAATCTATTCACTTGTAATCCGGAATCCGATAAAGCAAGAGGAATCAAAATGTTTCCTTAAAAAAGCTAGGATGCTTTGTTTTATGCATCCAAAATGGTGAAATCCAGAATCCGGAAGTTAACATGGAGTCGGGAATCCAGGGATCTCCGGATGGCATGTTATGGGGCGAATTCTCAGTTATTCTGAGCCCAAAGAGAGTCCGACTTGTCTAGTATTATTGCATGGAAGCAATGATCAATATGTGGATTTTGTCTAGTATTATTGCATGGAAGCAATGATCAATATGTGGATTTTGTCTAGTATTATTGCATGGAAGCACTGATCAATATGTGGATTTTGTCTTCGATTGGTGTTTTGGCAGATTTGTTATGCACCATATCTCGTTTTAGTTACGAAATCCCCGCTCCCACAATCTGTAATCCCGTATCCCATTTCATTTTGCCGAATCCTACTTCCAAGACAACGCCAATCCCGCCAAACCTAATGGGGAATGGATCATGAAATACCGCTGGAAAACAAACGCAGGCGCATGTCTTGTATCAAGTCAAATAATACATTGCCTTAGAATCTGTCCCTCGTCACAGTTCGAASTGACCTAATTTTCACGCTAGACCTTTTTTAGTATATTCGGAGAGGGAAATTATATAAACCGTGAATTGTGTCAAAAAACCTGCATCAGCCAATCATTATCCAATTRATACTTGTTAGCAGTACTTAGGCAATATGTACAAATTAATGTTACAGTCTTTTCTCTTTTTCTGAGAGCATATTAATCACAACTTGCAGTTACTTATTATGTCACATTTTACTGGATATGAAAATCCTTGTTACAGCATTAAAGACAATTTTTATAGGCAAATTAATAATACTTCAAAGTGAATGTTAAACTTCAAAGGAATGTCAATTGACTATTATACTTAAGCACTATATCTAGCCACTCCTGACAGCGATCGCAGAGTGGAAGTTGCAGAGTTAGTTTCTCTCCTTTATTACTTATGAGCAGGCACTTAATTCGTAAGGCCCATTGCCAGTCTCTTTCGATTGACTCGTGCTCATCTCCACAATGGGGAAGGGACCGTCTTGAACGTCTAACGTGTAGGGTGTTTKACTTCTGTGATCTGGGTTGATCACCTTAGCTGAAGGTCCCTTGGACGCCGCCTCTTGCTGTAAGGTAGTCTGGATCATTCAAGTCCTGATGACAATGAAGAAGATCATCAGTAGGAGAGCCAAGATCAGATTACTTGGCTTGTCCCTTGTAACTGAACTCTGCACATCAGATGTAATAGGAGCTRTAGCTGTCACAGTGCTGCTATTGGTCGATGGGGACGAAGCACTAGCGAACTTGCTTGGCGTGGTTGGTGGCCTCACGACAACAATTACCTTCATATCAAAGGTAAACWTGCGGGAACCAAGATTTTTCGAGGGATTCTCCCAGCGCCACAGACACGTATAGTTCCCTGCATCGTCAGTTGTGATGTTACTGATGTTAAGACTGTGGCCATCAGGTCCAACCGTGAGTCTCTTCCCGCCAAACATTTCCTTAGATTTGTCGGTAACCCTTCCATCTTTTAGAACTTCTATGGYTTCTTTCCTTGGCAGCTTACAATACATCTCCCTCTTGATGTTGGTTGCACCCACAGGAATCGAAGGCTTTGGGCATTTCAAGGAGAGAGTACTTTCTGCTTCAGCCAAGACGTGCTGGCAGTTAATTTCAAGATCCACGGTTAACGTTACTATGTTGTTGCAGTACCTGCGTATTTTCCACTGACCACTGTCTGACGCCTGGACTCCTGAAATTTGCCAACTGTCTCCTTTCTTAGTAAATCTTCCYTCGGTTTTTGAAATTTTTCCATGTGGGCCAAGAAGCAGTGGTTTTCCTGTGCAATTTTCTTGGGAAAGCGAAGGTAATTTCACTCTTCCTCCGATGCAGRCCACCATCTTCGTTTGGTTTAGGCTCATCGGCTCAGGTGTAGTGTTCAGGTCTCCTACCCTGACGGAGGCCAGCACGTAAACGATTATGATAAAAGATTTCATGTGATCTGAAACACCAAGCAAAGAACAATCATTGGTCTATGTTTTGTAGTGAACAAACTTGTAAGACTGATTGCAAAAATACGATCTAGACTTGATGAGATAAATAGAGGATATTACGTAGCGAACGAGTGAGAGATTTTCAACACGAGAAGATAAAATTCATATCTCCGAGCGACCATGTAATATCCTCTATTTATGACATAATTGGATATGAACGCAAATTATGCCGTAAAATACCTTTTTTCTTACTTCCACTATATAGACAAACCTCGAATGTGATATTTTCACTAGTGAAAATAACATGTTATTTTCATGTTATTTTCTCTAGTGAAGATATCAAGTTTACGAAATGGAGAAATATAGGTATTTCATAGATAATTATATGATAACCATTTGAAATACCTTTTTTCTTACTTCCACTGTATAGAGAAACCTCGAATGTGTTATTTTCACTAGTGAAAATATCAATTTTACGAAATGGAGCTAAAATATAGGTGTTTCATAGATAATTCTATGATAAATCACAAAATGACATCCTACAAGTTTTTATACTAGTGGGTAAAACAATCAGTGTACAACAAGTGGCGTTGTATCAAATCTACTGATTTTCACTATTAAATTCACATTTTCACTGAATTTTTCTCATGATTTATGATTTCCCTTTGTGCAAACTATGATCTATGATATTCTTCCCAGCACTAAACACAAACATTTTACTGGACTTTCTTTCATTGAAATCACATTTCACGCATAATATTCTACTCAGCACTAAACACAAACATTTTACTAGACTTTCTTGCATTGAAATCACATTTGCATTTGATTGGGGTTTTGATAGTAACGGAACCAAAGGAAACAGCTAACTAAAAGAAAAGAGTTAACTACAATACCTTTTGCTTTCAGAAAAGATATAGTGTAAAGTAGATACGAAGCTTGAAACTGATATGCTTTGACAACAATATCAATGAATGAACAGTTTGAATTTGCTCTGAATTGCTCCTTCAAATAATAGATATATTTAAGTAAACAATTGAGGGACTACCCCCGAATAGGTGCCGTGTGCGTCGTCATATGACTTAGGGAAAATTCCCTTTTAAAAGCGCCAACAATACTACTTTCACTTTCGAGGGACAGAACAAAGCATCCGATCATCCGTTCCGATCATCCGTTCCGATCATCCGATGGCATCTGTGTGGATTCAGCACATTTCGTCTTTATACAAATCAGCATTTTTTTGTTATAATCATGTTAGTCTTTGATTAGATTCGTTCTGCTCATTATTTATAATATTAATTACGATCAGCTCATCTGAATGTTGCCCCTCCCCCTCCCCCTTAATTAAGATAAAGGATACTGTTGTAACGTTCGCAAGCTGGCGATGTCTAACAGTGCATATTTCTCGTGACATTAACAAACAATTTTAGCCACTTTAACAACTCATTACATGTTACAATATCCTTACAAAAACATTAATTTAACCCTTTAAAGACACATCACTATGGCAAAAGAATGTTAATTGACTTTTCTATATGAYCACTTGCCGACGATATTCTGTTCTATTGCAACACAAATCCTAAATTACATATATGTATTACAATTTTACCCAATATGGCGCCTTTTTGAGACTAAAATAGAGACTGGGAACAGTGAATTTCGATATAATTACATGAGGTGTTTGATTTTCACACGTTGCGCAATCAACCGCAAGCATATCTGATGGAAACCCTTCCTGAAAACGCGCAAGCTCTAAAGGGATTTGATTTCATCTTAAAAACAATTGAACGTAAAGAAAGCGCAAGAGGGAATTATTAATTCAACGTATGTAAGCATGAGAGGGTTTATTTCAACCCTTCCTGACAATACACAAGCTCAAAATGTAGTTTATTTCATCTTAAAAACGATTCAACGTAAGAAAGAGGAGTAACTACATCTTGAAAACAGTTAAAGTACGTAAGCATGTGAGGGTTTATTTCATCCCATCACTGGCCCGTTCAACGCACGCAAGCATAAGCAAAAATGCAACRACGAGAAAGCAATTTTTAATGATATACCAACCTCTATTATCCCCTTTCCTCATTTCTGTAAAAACCGGAGGGGTTTTTTTGCAAAAATCCCCTTGACATACAGAAAAATCTCTTCGCAGGAATAGTTTATCGAGTCGAATGTGTCGCAAATCCAATTGTTATTCATATCGTCCAGTGAACTATCAGTCAATAATAATATTATGTACCACAGCAGACATCAACATAGTGAGATAAACATCCTCAATTTCAATGAAGTGMGATTCGCAGAATATCACACTGATCGAAAAACAGCTGTAATGTTTTTCTCAGAATATGTTATTTTGAATTAGCATCCAGTAATTATGCCTTTCCCCGAACTCAAGACTGTAAATTTCTTCGAAAATTCCCACTTTTCAGGCATTTTTCAAGAAAATATTCCCTAAACGAAAAAGCATTTTGGCTAGATTTAYGGTGTATTAAAAAATCCCCAAAACACATGGCCCAAGGTTGACAAACCAAAGGTCAGTATAACAACATGTGCTTGTATTATATGAAAGTGAAACTGCTTGTGCAATAGCATTTGAGTTTGCACTAAAATAACTGATTTATTGATACATAAGCACATAGTAGTTCGACTAGTTGAATACTGGTTGCGGACCGGCTAACGGGTAATATGGTTATAACTAAGTGCCGTGTATAAAGTTAATTGTCATGTTACTTTTGTATTCCAAAGTCTTAATTCTAGCTTGCTATTTTCCTTAGAAAAATTCTGAAATTCTTAGTAGCGGCCCTACATGCCACCTAGGCGTAACAGGAATGATGATTTTCCTTAGAAAACAAGGATTTTTTCATTATTTTGGTTACATGGGCTATTCAGCTCAGTGTATAGTGTAATGTTTTGCACATTGAGAAAAGGCACCGTTCATTAATCAAGGAATTTTTGTAAATGAAAAAAGCAGCTATCCATATTGATTGTTGTACGCATTGTTGATACTAGATGTAACGGTGTTTTATTGTAGATCAGACTGTGCTGACAAATTCAAAACAATGAGTTGAAAAAGAGAWGTGCTATTCAATACTTAGTCGCGTGTGCGGTCGAGAAAAACACGTAAATAGTAGATTTACACTGATAAAATTAGTGTTTAAAGCATTTGTGAGTGCTTACCTTGTATTATTATAAGAGCGCTCATAGTGCTTTACTGTGATCAAGTTAAGACCTCCTTTTACAATGAGCTTCTTAACACAGTGCTGCGATGTTTCATACTACAGTGCTAGTAACCAATTGGTTGTGCTACATAAAACTCACTCAAGCTATATTTAGAACATTGGTCAACGCTGATTTAAATGATTCTCTGAGAATATCTTTGACTTCCGATATTTTACACATTCATTTAGTCACGCAACACATTCGATAGCAAATGTTTGATTAGAAACAGATCTTTTCCGCTATTACCCACGATCAAAAGACCGTGATCGTTCAATACCAAAGTGCTGTGGCTAAATATACAAACCTACTACTGTATGAAGTTCTATTTTCTTTATTGTCTATAATAAATTCCTATGAAATACCCCTTGTGGGTGCGTTACTCGACTTTGTACTCGGAAATTRTTCGCAGTTTCCCGGAATTCCGGGAAGTTGTGGAAATCACTGTTGTTGGTGTCTTATATACTGTGTATAAATAATTGAGGAGAAATCATTACGTTGTTTTTCGGCATTCATAATATGCGTATTTAAACAGCTTTCTTTTTACACTTGATTGTCTAGAATATTTCAAAGCAGGCTTTTAGGGTTAGGATCTTTTTGTATATGCAGGTCAGCGTTACATAAGCCGTATTAAGATCGGTGAAACAACGTACATGTACAACTCTGGGACTCTGGGACTGCAGCTTACATGAGATGGAGTCAGTGTTTCCCGTATCGTATTGTTGCCCGTATTATTATACGCTCTCATAGTTGCAGTCGTTATTTTGGAAGATGATAAGGTCATGGACTTCATGGTCGTTGTTGGAGAGGTAGTTGTAGTCGTTATTTTGGAAGATGATAAGGTCATGGGCTCCATGGTCGTTGTTGGAGAGGTAGTTGCAGTCGTTATTTTGGAAGATGATTCGGTCATGGACTTCATGGTCGTTGTTGGAGAGGTAGTTGAAAAGGTTTTCAGATATCTCTCGTCTGTCGATTGTTTTTTGAAAGTAGAGCTTGCTGTTGCAGGCCGCTCTCGCTGGCTTGTTATAACGCGAAGGAGATATGATACGGTCATGGTCTTCATGGTCGTTGTTGGAGAGGTCACTGGAAACGTTTTTAGATAGTCTGTCGATTGTTTTTTGATAGTAGAGCTTGCTGTTGCAGGCTGCTCTCGCGGGCTTGTTATAACGCGAAGGAGATATYTATAATGGCTTCTMGGCGTTCTAGAGCTATTCTTTTTCAAGTCAAACGTGATGATACAGAAGTATGYCCCGTCGTCATCTTTGCGYGCGTCTATTATTTTCAAAACATCCCATGAAATATCTAGYCTTTCTGGATATWTTTTGTTTTGTYGATCCTCGGTGGTGTTTGCGTTCAACSTGATTTTCAATTTAGTAGTAGTTGAACTCTTGAACCATTYGATTTCCTTGATRGGGTCTGATAATSTTGTTGTTTTGCAAGTCATTTTGATAGCCGTCCCTTCGTCAACAACCATTGATTCGCATTTCTTACTGATKTTTARATATATTACGCACGTTTGGCTTCTAGAACAGTTAGTTTTATATTTGCAGTGATATCTATATATGCCTCCATCACTCTCGCTGATATTTTTCACAAGAAGTACACCATTTTGGATATACTTGTACTTTTGATTCAGACCTTCTTTTACTAATTTCCTGTTGAATCTTACAAAGGTTTTCATGTAATCGATTCGTGATGGACATGACAAGATCACTGATTCACCTTTGCATCTTTTGATTTCCTTGAATTGAACGGCATCAGCCAGTAGAGCCACATGCTGTACAGTCAAAAGTGTTATTATCAAGTACATTTGTGATGTTTTTGATGTTAGGTTGTGATGGAGATTTTCCGCTGAAAGTATTGATGAGTGTTTTCCAGGAAAGGCGCTCCAAGAACTCACATCGCTCGAGACAGAATTAGTAGTGTTTCCTGTCGAGCAATATTGCAGTATCAAGCTTCCTACTTTCCATTTTCAGTTATCAAGTTCTTTTCATTCAGATACACCCAATAATCCTAGCTTCAGACCTGATATCCAGAGATCGAGTTATCTTTTTAAAACCTGTATTGTTCATGYGCGCGCTTTGACAGCTGGGAATGATAAAAGACAAGTGCATGCTAACCCTTATTTGGTCGTGACATCTGTCAAATTTATTTTCTTATGCCAAAAAATATGAAGKAAGAGYTTTTWAAGCATTGAAACTCACTTTTACAGTTTTAGGATTGTCACCAGCTGCGGTATAAACGAAGAGGGGGTGGTGTGGGTAGGATGTAGCAAGGGGTTTTCAGAAGGAGCTTCATTCTATCAGTGAATTTATTCATCATTTTCACTATATTCAATTCACATTAATAAGTCATCATGCTTACCAGTATATCTAACCATAGTGATTTACTAGTTAAACATAAATAAACGTTTTATTATGACGATTGTAGACGTTTTGTTTTTTCTTGTTTATTTATTCCTCTTATATTTGATGTTGCATATTGCCTATTGATCATCAGTTGAATGGTTGAGCACTTTATCACAAGACTGTCGTAAATGACAAGATTCGGCAGCACACATTCAAACTATGTGCCCAGTTAGGTGGGGTCTAGGTATCCTGTATCCCTCCGCTATTTTTCTTCAAATCCCGTATCCCAAATTCCCTAACAGGGTCACAACATGGGATTAGTATTAATTACTGCAAATTATCTGACTCTTAGTCTGATGGCTGTTCGACATGTCCATGGTTAACGTCACCTGGATGTTAATTAATTACTGCAAATAATCTGGCTCCCTCTGATGGCTATTCGACATGTCCGTGGTTAACGTCAACTGGGTCTATTAATTACTGCAAATAATCTGACTCAACTGGATGTTTTTACATTTACATTTCTTCCAGACATCACGCAGTCTGACACAATGCAACCTCAAATTATTCTTTTCTCTCTTTTATAAACATAAAGAAAGGTTTGTCTCAGCCGCGACAAGAGCAAAATACGAATGGCCTCCTTGGCAGCCTTTCTTTGTGACGTCACCCTGCTGCTTAGGAGGTTATTTTGATAAAGGTTTTTTATACGATGTCAGTGCGTGGTATTTATAACGACGTGGTATTTATAACCCATAAMGACAGTATCAACAGTAGGGATGTATCAACGTCGATCTCAAAAGGACTTGTAGGGAATGGCAATGCAATTTTTGATTAGCATTAAGTGAACACTTTGTTACCGCAGAATCGAGATTGATTAAGGTGCATGACAACGGGAAGTGAAGATCATATCGCCGTTACTACTCTAGGGGCCTCAGTTAACTTATCATATCACGAAGGATTTTTTAAAGCGTTTCTTCCCCGACCGTTCCACTGGAAAAAATCGCGCGCTTTAAAGGTTGTAAATTTGATGTAAATATGATGTAGGTTTCCAAAATTCTGTAAATTTGATGGAAATCATTTCCATTAAATTTACAGAATTTTGGACATACATCATATTTACATCAAATTTACAACCTTTAAAGCGCGCGATTTTTTCCAGTGTTCGTTGCTGTGTCGGTTTTTGTCTGCCTAAAATTGAGTCAAGCATGAAAAAGCGATGTTGATTTGATTGTTGATTTGTCGAGAGTCGTTATTGGACATAAAGTCAAATGCAAGTCAGCCCCAAAGTGAATCAAATTTATAAAGACTGTTGCGGAATTTTTAACGAGAATATTTTAAATATTTCCCGCCAAGTTATCAGCTGATTATAACAATGACCCTGTTGGTGAAGATCCCGTATGAGTCCATTACGTCACTGTCCTCAGGTACAACAGACGAAATCAAACATGGCGGACGGGTAACAAGTTAGGGAACGCTGTATTGTAGCACTATCTTCTCTGCATTTTGTCGTGTAGATGAAACTGGAATTCAGAGTGATAATATAGGAGTGGAATTTTAGTTTTAWAAGAAGAATTGTGGCTTTACCGTGGATAAATCTGTCTGGTAAAGAATTCTTTTCCTCGTTACGATGAAACARYTTCAGTGATGTTTTGGAATCTTTGCAAGAGTTCTCGGCGAAARGGACTGTACTTTCTCCTGTTAGGAGTGKTGTGTGTCCTTATAGTTATAGGTATGTATTAATTGTTTTAGTTTTGCTGTATTTATGGGTATAAATTAGCTTTTTGTGTCGAGTTTATGCTGTAATTTAYCGAGGTGTYTTTCTGCAGATGCCGAGAACTCGAGCTTCCAAGACTGTGGAAAAGTATTTAGAGATCATTCATTGAATAAGGGTAAACAAGCCGGTGTATTTAAGAGATTGAGCAGGACTAATAGCCACGAAAAATGTGTAAAAGACTGTTGTAACGATAAAGACTGCGATACCGCGTTATTCGTTGGAAAACTTCAAGCTTGCTATTCGGTTGACTGTGAAACTGACGATGCTTGCAGACCTGTACGAGCCTCAAAAGCTTCACAAAAATACGACCTCACTATCTTTAAAAAGGAAATCAAAGGTAAGAAATAGATTATAAATTACTCTTTATATCAAAGTATTCACTTATTTAACACAAACAGAACCGTTAGTTTTAAATWATGAGGTAATTTATCAAAGTATCTGATTTCGTCTGGCTTCCGTGTCCTGGAATGGCGCTAAAATAAATCTCCTTTACAAACGGATTTTCCAGATGAACTGGCGAATGCATTGGAGATCAATGAGCAATTCARATTTCTTTTCAAGTCATTGGTTTATGTGTGTAAAGTGCCGTTGAGTGATGCTTCATACGCTCCACTTGGCTCGGTTTCTATTCACGTTTGAATGTTTTGATCTAGGACTTCTTTTGTTCTTCTTGTTCTAAAACCAATAAATCAACTTTTGCTGTTCATTACGGGTTTATCTCATAAAACAAAAGCATTTAATCGTCTTTGAATTACATGTTTAATCATTCAAATTTACAACTTTGTTCTTAAACAACTATTTCAAACGCCAAAAGGTTTTTTCAATTTCTTTTTTGGACGAAAATTAATAATTAATTGCATTGATTTGCCACGATCGCTCGTGTTTGTAAGACTTAAGGTTTATACATCTACCCAAACAACAATTACTAGCGTTTTGGATGCAATATAATTGTAATTAGGTTGCGATAATTAAATTTCTGTTAGTATATCACGTCTATTATTTACTGTAGAGTAATAAAGTTGCCTCCTGCAGTCATAGAGTACGGAAACCCATTGTCATGAAATGCTTGAATGGCTGTGCTATACAATCAGCTRTACTAACACTTTGATTCAACAACTGCTGAGCTTACAAAGCATTAAACACGCCAACAATCAATATATCATTATAATCAAGAGCTAATTTAAAATATCATCTTTACACAGTTCAGCTAGAAGTTGAACATTTTAGAATATAGAAGTCTTAGTCTTTTACTAATGATATAGATGTAGATAGCAAGCAATAGAGCTTGGATCCTTCCTGTCTAACATTTGTACGTACGTCTGTCACTTATAAATAATTTTTTGAACAGCAAAATTTGAGTTGCAAAATTTAAGGTACTTTCCTGCTATGCAGCAATAAGCATCCTTTACTCAATAGATTTAAGTACATGTATTTGTATTTTGCATTCCTGCCAAATGTGAATGATGTCTATTCTGCGACATGACTTGTATAATATTAAACTATTCTAAATTGTATAATATTGCTGCATAAACATGGAATTTATTGTTCAACTATCAATCACAATTCTAAATGATGATTTACGCTCTTAAGTCTTCGCATCCCTCTTTGTAAAATCATGCATAGATGCTGACAGAGATACAGGTACAATTAGCTTTAATTTATGAAMTACCCTTAAGGGTAGTAAGCTGATATCCTGTAAGCTAACAAGATGTCTAGTGGATTATAAACGTTACCACAGTCTTTTCGTGGAAATTTTACAATTTCGATATATCCAAGGTTTAAACCTTTCACCAGGTTGAATTTTATAAAAATCATTTTTCAAAGCATTATGTACCATTCCTCTCTAGGTAAAATGATATGTTAAGTCTAACTTGATTGTTTTGTTACAGGAAATAGTGGTGTTGATACAAGTTTTTCCAGGTAAGATCGAACAACTTCAACTACTGAATAAAAATATACCAAAACACCATTTAAATGTACAACTGTTGCATCACATTGAAAAAATACATCATGAATTTATTWTTCATCAAGGCTTATAAGCATTTAACCAAGGCTACAAACAATACATTGATACATCATATATATAATGATGGCATGAAAAATATCATGAATTTGGCCGATACAGGCTTAARCCATAATTTGATAAAATATCATCTTTTTTATGTGTGAAAGTATAAACAATGTTAAGACTAAATTAATATTCCAATTGACTTTGAAATTAAAAATAAAGAATTTAAATATTATTTCCTCAGTTTTCCATTAGCGGATGATCCAAATAGACCACTTATAAGAGAGAAAAGGTAAACAGAAAATAAAAAAATAAACATTTTAAAATAATTAATAAAAACTAAAATGAATTCAATGGAGGCAATCTATGGAAATAATATCACCACTTAAAACTGCTGTTACTATAGTAATTATAAGTTCCAATTGGACTTCATGAAAAATGTTAAAATATAAAAAACGTATCTTTGATAATAGATGATTTYYAAGATCAAYATGTGCTTTGAAAATAYGGRMGGCATACATRAATGCATTATGTGAAAATGAGTTGCATGTTTTGACRTCAAAAATTAACWMAAGCAAGCTTCATTTGGGTKCCTACAAGCCATCCTCCTGGCAACCATCTATTTCACACAGGAATCACATTTAAATGATATAATTATCATATTCTTGTTGCAGGCATAAATCTTGTCATCATTACCATGGAACTCAGTCAGGCTGCAAAGTATACTTAAAAAATAAATTGTTATATTTCAACCGTCCTCCGGTTCAAGTGGAAAAGAGTCTCATTGTCCCTATTAAGAGATTTAAACAGAAACTCTCTCAAAGCTGTTTGAAGTACGCAATAGCTGCAGTTTGTCATTACGCTTTYCCGGACTGCACGGATCGTTCACAACCAACTCCAATGTTTCTTTGTCAAGAGGATTGTCATAATCTTTATGAAGGAGTTTGTAAAAATGACTTTAAGTTAGTCACTGATGAAGAACGTGGTTTTTTGCCTGATTGTAAAACCCTTCCTTCTTCAACTCAAACTAAATGCATCAAGCTTGGTGTTCCAGGTATGTATCAAGTCTATTGTTTTTTATTATTTGTCCATCTCTTGTCATTGATGTTGTTGTCGTTGTTGTTGTTGTTGTTGCTRTTGTTTGTCCTTCTACATGTGGTCAGTCTATTGTCATTCGGTTTATGTCCATCTGTCAATCAGTATATTATTTACTGGCTGGGAGGTCCGTATAGGAAAACACTGCCTGAGGTCTTGAAAATACAGAACAAGCACAGTGAGGTCCGTACATAAAAGACCAAGGGCTGTGTTTTCCTATATGGATCAACCTACAATATAGCCGGTAAATTTGTATTTTTTATTTGTACTTTCTGCAACTTTGCTCGCAGCCTAGCTGCAGGATACCGTAGAACCAGGCATATCGTGAAAAACCGGACCGCGCTAGCCAATCACAGCACGCGAATGACTAGGATACAGGACAAAAAAAATTGTGTCGCACACTCAATCCGCATTGCAGTCATTGAATCAGTCAGTCAGAGTCTTGACCAGTCAGTTTGTTTATTAATTAGTTGACTAGTAATTGAATCACTTAACAGCAGTAGGCCTATTTCATAGGTTAATCTAATGCCAATAAGAACATGATGAGAAGAATCAAATGTTCGGAATCCTACACATGCAATATTGCGCATGTTTGATGAGATGTGTGGGTTATTATTCAGATATAAACTTTCATTTTGTATTTCAGAACCTTTAGAAGTTTCATCAAGTCAAGCATTGTCTCAACCAGACGATAAACAAAGTAAAGACACCAAAGAAACCAAGGRAGAAGATGAAGAAGATTTGAACTTATTCAAACAGCAAATCAATAAGAAACCTGATGCTAGTACTRGACAAGCTAGCCAAAATGACAATACTTTGACTGATAAACAAACTACAGAAAGTAGTGATGGTAATTCAAACATCCAAAAACAAACAGATTCAGAATTAAATTCAAAAACTAATGAACAACCTTCCTTGAGACCTTCAATATCTACTGTAACAGAAAAGGAA